CAAATCTATTCATCTGACTCTTACAACAAGACAAGTCAAGCGAGACCAATTCTTCCCGGAATAGCCACAGTGAGTGAACACACAAGACAGTCTGGGTGTGGGAGATGTGTACTATTCCATGTCTGAGGTGAGGTGAAATTGGGTTTAGCGTCGCATCCAAGATTATTGCACTTATATAGCGACGTGCATGTGTGTGTGTGTGTGGCTGCTTGTACTAGTCCGGACTGATGCCGATTTATAGTGCTAGCCCACTGAGATACCATGCCGCAGTTTAACATGAATACCCCACTCAGACACAGTATACTGACTCCGAGCCGACCAGTCCTTGTTTTAGCCCCTTAGTGCCGAGCGCCAGACAGGGTAACAACAAGTACCATCTTTTAATGTCTTTTGGTATGACGCGGCCGGGGATCGAACCCCGGACCTTCCGCTCTCCGGGCGGACGCTCTACCACTAGACCACGGAGGCGGTCCCATGTCTGAGTGAGGTGATATGATTTGAAAATATTCAAACGTTATTACACGTGATCTTCAGGGGTTGACTTAACTGCTGGCCCACTGGCCCGTGGTCAAGATTACAAAGGGTAGGCTGAAACGTAAAGTAGATGGCCCGTCTGGCTAGTCAAAATGTCACCCCTTCTCATTTTTTTGACTGCAAACTACTCGTGATTCATGTAATTTTGATGAGAAAATATTTAGGGGGATGAGGTCGTGTGAATGGTTAACTCAAAGAAAGATATATGTTGATCATCTCAGTAGAATGGCAACCAGACGCCTTTTTGTAATGTTATGCACAACAACATCCTTATTTGCTCACAAATCACCATGAAACGAAGCAAATGGAAGCCAAGGTTTAATCTCAGAGTGCAGAAAAAGGCATTTCAGGGGTGAGGCATTCTAAAACTTTCAGAGACCTACAAGGTGGCAATGCGACCTCAGGTTCGGCCACTTCGCAGCCTCCACCATATAGTTGTAGGGCAGTTAGTTTGGAGAAGGACCAGTTTGTTTGGAGAAGGCCAGTAAGTTTTAAAGGAGCAAGCCCTGCTGGCTACATACAAATTTGTTGTTAAATCCACCCCTGGATATTTCTACCTCTACTCTTATGCTTATGGCATGCTGAATGGGTAATATATACAAAACTTGGTGTGAACCTGACACGTACCTCTCTCTCGTACCAGTCGGAGCCTTTGAACACCTCATAGGAGGAGTCCAGTGGAGTCAGTTCATCCGTGTAGGTCTTCACTCGCACGCGGGAGTTGAAGCGGAGAGACAGCAAGTTATATATAATCTGAAACCCAATAGTGTCAACTCAGCAAATATCACAACAGTTCACTCTTCAAACAATGTTCAGCACATTCAGGTTAAGTAGCATCAACATTATTTTTATTATTATTATACATGTATATACTGCAGGTATCCAGGTACTAGTATCTGCTCAAATGAGGTTTTATTTGTTCCCAAACCAGTGGATCTGTTTGCATTCCGGTTCTCATTCTCAACTCCCTGGGGAGTATACAACTCAAGCTGCCTACGGACGCTAGAGTGTTACATCCACCTCACATATTGTGTACCCATTCTCTGCTGGTTGAACAGAGGGACATTGGACTGTTGGAACTAAGCCATTGCCAAGGGTGACACCACACGTTTTGACACTTGTGTTTCGGGTGTATGTATGTATTCTTTGCAAAGAATATAGTTTCTTGCCTGTAAGGGTAACCGTGCCTCAGGAACTGACAATGATAAAACCATGTTTTACAAAAACTTAAACGCTGACCTTGACCCATGCTGACCTTTGTCAAATTCTGAAACAAAATTCGACCAGTCTATGTTTCACAGGGCTTTCAAATATACCATAAATGCAGCCTTTGAAATTCATGCCGGTATGCTAGTCCCGAGACTAAAAATTCAGTACAAATTCAGTGATGGTAATCCTCATTGCCTCTTACAAAGACTGCTGAAGACCTATTCTACCCCAGGGCCCACTTGCACAAAGCGATCTTAGCGCTAAGATGATCGTAACTCCCATACTTTAACATAGGCTTACAATAGTTGTAGCGCTAAGATTGCTTTGTGCAAGTGGGCCCTGATCTTCACGGGTGCTGAGTACCGGGGAGTGAGTGAGTATGGTTTTAAGCCACTTTTCACAATATTCCAGCAATATCATGGCAGGGGACAACAGGCTTCACACATTGTATCCATGTGGGGAATCGAACATGGGCCTTCGGTGATGAGCAAATGCTTTAACCACCAGGCTACCCTACCGCATCAAGGACCAGAGAAGTGAAGATTGACATCCTCTGGACTAGTCTTAAAATATAAAAAATACTAAAACTGTGACTGTGAGTGTAGGATGGTGCAGATGAGAACTGGACCCACCTCAAATCTGTACTCTCTCGTGGGGACGTCCATGCCAGCAACATCTGCTACGTTGAGGTACTGTGCATTGGTGTGATCTCGGAGGAAGGTGAGGACCGGGACAACTCCATCTGGGTGAATCATAATGTCCAGCTCATCCCCATTGGTCACTTCCACTTGCTGGACATACTTGGGAATACACTCAGCAACATACCGACCAAAGTCCTTCAAGTGTTGCTGGACCACAGCGTTAGTTGGACGTATTGTAGCTGTGGAAACAACACGTTTTTATTCTTCAGTCATAGATAAAACATGCAGTGGCTTAAGATACAGTTCATACGATACATGGGATCTTCAGATAGCAGCTGCTGGATTGATACATGTAATTATTTTACTAATGTAGTTATCATGGGAATGTAATTACCCAGTCACGATCTGATTTCCTTCAGTACATAAACAATATGTCCAAATTAACAATCTTGGAATAACAAATATTGAATAGGATTTGGCCGAAAACTTCAAAATAAATTGCAAGTAACTCCTTGGCATTTGAGTGGCCAACCAAGCAATGGATCCATAAACCAAAATAAATGAGGCCAAGCCCACAAACTGACTACTGGCTGATAACAGAATGGGCGGGTGTTGCATTATTACTGAATGATGTCACTGATTTTGTACTGTTTTCTGTGTGTAATGATTACATAAGCAGTCTGAAGTTATCATAGTTATTATTGTGGACATATTTATTAATAAGAACAGACTTCAATATGTACTAACGTTTATAGAGCAGTGTTCACACTGTGTATATATCAACATACACAGTTTGCGCACAATATTTAACATAAAAAATAATGGAGTCAATTCTTAAATAAGAAAATTATCAAGTCCCTCAAACTGCTGACTTTCTTGTTTGATAGGCATCACTTAGAAGTTGACGGGTGACAAGGTAGACACAATTTATGGATAACAACTTCTTTAATACTGTGAAAAGTGACGTTTTGGTAAAGATCCTTATGCCGTTGTCAAGCAGTTGTCCCTAAATTGTGTCCACCTTGCTGACTATCTTCTCTCCGGGCAGTCGCTCTCCTAGACCATGGTGGTGGTCTCACGATCCAGATGGAGACAGTACTCTACCACAAGTGATGTATGTAAGACTGCATGCTCAGAGACCTTTACTTCACACTTACGGCTTGTTTCTTTGACGTCACTTGTCATCCACCGTGAAGGAGCCAGAACCGCTGGTCGGGAGACGGCTGAAAACATATCACTGATAATAACCCACACACTTAATAAGAATGCTGAAAGTGTGACAATCATGATAATCAGTGTTTGAAATTAAGGGGGTTTGTTGCTATTTAGCATGAAATAATATTTGATTCTGAATGAAAGTATGCCTACGGATATGGTGCTGACAAACCTGGAAACATAATCTAGGCAAACCGGGATTCGAACCCACAATCATAGGTTCTTGCTTGCCCAAGGGACACAACTCTGCACAGCAAAGCAGACCCTTAGACCACTGGGCAACCAGTTGCCCTTGGCAGCACTTAAGTACAACTGCCCTGATACATGACCTTGCAAGCCAATCGCTTGATAGGGACCAGTCATTATTAGATATTGTTACCAGCACTAAGGTTGGTTGGTTGTTTTACGCCACACTCGGCAATATTTCAGCTGTATGACGGCGGTCTGTAAATAATCCAGTCTGGACCAGATAATCCAGTGATTGACATCATGAGCATCGATCCACGCAATTGGGACCGATGACATGCATGAACCAAGTCAGCGAGCCTGACCACCCGATCCTGTTAGTCGCCTCTTACAACAAGCATAGTCACCTTTTACGGCAAGTATGCATTGCTGAAGACCTATTCTACGCAGGATATTGCAGCCCGAATGTTGACAGGGCGGATTGTCATGCTTTGGCCCATTTGTGTCAATGAACAAGAGTGAACGTGATAATCATTATAGTAAACATACTCTGTGGTGGGGATGACATATTACATCAAAAGCCACGCGGCGTGAGGTGTAACATTGTAATAAGTGATCAGCTGGTGATGGATGGGAACCACTGTCCAAAATATATATATGGACAAAGATTGCAGTTTACCCTGCCATTTTTCACGTGGCACTTATCTCAGTACAAAGCATGCACTGTACCTGCTTCATGGGTGTCACACTAACAATAACCATTCTGACACCAACAATTACCAGGTTCTAATACAGTACTAATAATTTTCAGACACCGAAAAATTGAAAAATGCTTATGCTTAATCTATTTGCAGGAAACATGAACAATAATTAACATGATTCATGCATCGCAACTTTTGCTTTGCGAACAGTAGACAATGGGGAAGAGAACATGACAAATAATAGTAGTCAATTTATTTACCATGATTCCGTATTAAAGTTGTTGCGATAGGTCGCAAGGATCTCCACAACCTTGACGCCATTTTGTTGACCGAATGTTTTCACGGATTGTATCACCGGAAGTTGAAAGTTAACACTAAAATATGAGTTAAGTACGTCCTTGTTATATGTGAATAGTGTGGCATTATGGATTAATTTATAGTAAGTTTCCACATGTATCATGTCCAATAAAAAACAAATTGTGATTCTCTGCAAATGAGTGAAAATAATAATAAATTTGCCCGGATTTTAACTTTTCAATCTCCTATCATAGAAGAGTCCCTGTACGATAAAGGTAATTTTACACTGCAAAGTTGTTTCAATTAGATATAATTGCTGTTTTATTTTTTATCGTATTTTTTAATTACGAGCTTGCAGTGACGATATTCATTTCATTTTTCAGGTGCATCTTAGTATGCAGAGCTTTGGTCTCCACTTCCAAAGAGATTGTCAATTTCTCGTTTTTCCATCATGTTCGTCAGCAGTGAAAATACCCTGTAATTTAAAAAGAAACAACGTTCGTCAGTTGTACTAACCCGCCCTTTCAGAGCCAACCACACATATGATGTATTAAGTCTTTCTATTTTCCTTGAAGGGTATAAAGGTTTCAACCATGACATGAAGTTGTCTGACATCCTGTGGGAGAAGAAAGCAATAGGCCTAGATCTATAACATGAGAAAATGATGTCCCAAGATACATATAGAAGGAGCACTAGTCAAGACAAACCAGCCTTGTACTCCATCTTGACAGGGGAATGGATGGAGTTATCTGATTCTGCTAGGGTAAGCACAAGAATAACATGGGCCGGGAATAACCACAGTTTGGGGTATTATACATCAACAAAATAGCTGCCAGCCTGCTAGCCCGGAGCTAGTAAAAATTTCGATCAGGCTTGCAGTGATGAAAGAGAGACGATCGTCCATCTCTTGTGGGAGTGTGATATTGTACAGAATTTTTGGAAACAGTTTATGAGCTGGATAAATGACAAATGTGGACACATTCATAATCTAAATCTTTCAGCAGAATTTATTATTTTTGGCTTTAAAAAAAATCTTATAACTGATAAAGTGTTTGATTTTATCATCCTGTTCACAAAATACTTTATCTACAGATGTAGAGTTCAAAATATACTACCAAATATACAGTTTTTAAAGAATGAACTCAAACTTCGCTATAAGATAGAGAAAAGACGTTTCTTGTCCACAAACAGAGGTTTGGAATTTAACAAAGACTGGATGATGTACCATAACCTTTTTGAATTTTAGGATATGTATGTGCTTGTGTTCATGCGTATATTATGGTATGCCCATGTGTTAGTGTCTACATTTCCGTATCATTCAATTGGAACCACTGACTTGAGATTTGAGATCTCTCTTTGAGAATATAATGTGTGTGTGTGTATGAGAGTGCTTGTGGCGTCCCTGTGTGAAAGCGTGTAAATGGTGTTTGTATGAGAAGTGTGAATGGCTGTTGTTTTTATGATAAAAAAAGGGGACTCCATCATGTGATACATACATATTATGTATTCAATCATTTATTATCACTAGTAATATCAATCTCACATTACAAATGATGTGCAAACAGTCAATGTATTAATATGCACTATATCATGTACAATGTATCCTGAACCCTGAATAAAAAAAGTATTACAAAAAAAAAAAGAATTTCGATCAGGCAACGATTTTGAAATGTCCCTAGCCCGACTGGCTACTGAAATTTTAATGATGTTTTTTTTTATGCACACCACACCTGTTTCTATAGATCAATGCAACTATCAAAAGTAAAAAATAAAATTAACACCTGCAAGAAACTAAGATTGAGAGATCAATGTTTCCCCCTTTCATCATGTTTGTGTTACTGTAACCATGGTAACTCTGTGTATAACAAACATGTTTTGATTGGTTGTAATTTATAGTTTAACTAATCACATGCTGTGTTATTTAACGCTTTTAACTTTGCTGTACACGTCGGCCAAGACGTCATGAGACACCAACAATGTGAAAGAGCAACATAAAGATAAATATAAAAGTTACTATTTCCATCTTTTAATGCAATTGTGGATAAAGGTCAAATGACATCTCAGCATTTGTCGCCTCAATTTTTAGGCCTGAACACAATGTTTAATGCCAAAATATATGCATGAGAAATCTTTATCACACATCACCTAGCACGATATGTTCACAAAGTTCAATATTTTAAACATAAGTCAGGATTTCCTGCTAAAGTAGAATAATAGTAATATAGACGCTCTTATAAAAACAAATGTTATTCATAAATTCCATGTCTACATCACTATCAGTGATTCCAGAAGCCAGCTGCAGTTTTAACTCCACGGTAGAATGACTTTCATTAAATGAATGAATGAATGAATGAATGAATGAATGAATGAACAAACGAACGAACAAACGAATGAATGAATGATTGACGTAGCTATTTATATTTATTTATATTTTGACCAATCTTGAGTGGAAAAGCTGGAATAAATCTTGGAATAAAATTAAAAACATGTGGCTTTGATATAACATTTTGTGCCACACTAGTTTATTTTGTTTGAAAGACAAACCCAATAATTGGATATATACAATGGGTACTATGGGTATCAATGGGTATCATGAATCAAGTACAAGTATTGCGATAGCTATTGTGAGTAGGCATGTCATGACCCCCAACTGTTGACTGTAGTAGACCTCATAACTATGGTAAAATTATCTGAGGATCACTCACAGAAATAATTAGTGAAAGATTATGAAATATGAAACACTTCTCTTTCAGCTTGGGAAGTCTCGGCCTGTCACAGACTTTGAAAAGCTGAATCGAGTGGGAGAAGGAACCTATGGCATTGTTTGTATGTGGACAGGAATGTCATCATGGTTATGACTAATGAATAACAGTTGGCCATTGCCTGATAGAAATACGAACATTGATGTTGAGGCGATAATAAAAAAAGCCTTATTTTGGGGGAACTCACTTGAACTCAAAACAGCTATGACTGAAAACATTTTTCACCAGTTATTTTTTTTCTTATTTCCCCACAAAAATTGACCCCAAAACTAACGTCCCCACTGTCACACAATTACGTCACATCCTGACAGTGTGTGAGTGAGTTGGGTTTAACACCGCTTTTAACAGTATTCCAGTCATATCGCGGCACAGCGAATTGCGGCGCCTTAGACGACTAGGCCACCCGTGCCCCCTAAAATTTCAAGGGGATCTAGAAGTTAGCATATACTTAATAAGGGAACACCTTTGTTTTTTTAAAGTCCAAAATACACCTTAAATATTTGTTATGAGCGACATATTTCAAATTAAAGTTTGACACTTCAATCAATAACCATACCTTAAAATTCAAAACACAGTAGTTAATTTTCTTAAATTGTCTTTGCTTTTCTTGTTTCTTGTTTTTCTTCATTCCAACTTTTGTAACAATCAGATCGGGCCAGAGATACAAGAAGTAACAGAATTGTGGCATTGAAGAAAATGAGAATGGAGAAAGAAAAAGACGGTAAGTATTAGCTAATGTTGTGACGAAAACAATTTCTGGAAATGAATATATATTGGTGTGAAATCTTTTTTTAGAATATAATTAATACTGAATTAATGTTCTTGTTGTATTGAACTATTTTAATGCAATGTTGATTAATTCTTGTTCTGGAGAATATCTTGGCAAAGATGCAGGGGAAAGTTGACACAATTACAAAGTAAGAAATTGAATTTGAGGTTAATGATAAACAAATTACAAATTATAATTTTGAAAATATTTATTGTGTGTAAGTTCTGTTTGTTTTTAAGATATGTATCAGGTTGTCACCTATGCAAGTGTACTATCAAGAGGGGTTTACCGCTAAACTTTTTGTTCTTGTGTTTAGGATGGCACTGGGGGCTCAATTGTACAGAGTTGTGCCCCCTAGTTGTGCCAGAATTTGATGATCATTGGTTCAAATCCCAGATTCACATAAATGAGGATTCTTGGTTTGTAAGCATCACACCTTTGCTTGTGAGTTTTAAGTTAGGCTTTCTTCCCACATCAAGCTGTCATACCGTGAATCGGCAGAAATACTGTTCAAAGCAGAGTTTGTGTAAATTGTGTGGATCGATGCTCATGATGTCAATCACTGGATTGTCTGGTCCAGTCTGATTATTTACAGACCGCCATCATATAGCTGGAATATTGCTGAGTGTGGCGTTAACACTCCCTCCTTACTCACTCACTCACTCACTCACTCACTCACCAACTCATCCTCTCACCTACCCACTCACTCACTCACTCACTGTTTTTGAGGGGCTCACCAGTACAAAAAGAAGTAGTGTTGGCCTAGTATTAAAATAACTTCATTTACAGGTATTCCTATCAGCGGGTTGAGAGAGATCAATATCCTGCTGAACCTGCGACATGAGAACATTGTGGAGCTGAAGGAGGTGGTGGTCGGCAAGAGTCTCGACAGGTACGGAGTCACCACATGCTATTACTCGAGGAGGCACTGGTGGCCAAGTTGTCAATTTGCTGTGCAAGGTTGCGTCCCTTGGACACACTAAAAACCTATGATCACCGGTTCAAATCTCGGTTCACCCCGATTATGTTTCAAGGTTTGTCAGCACCAGTGCACAGTGTCACTGACTCTATATACAATAGACCAGGGAAGACCCGGGGTAGAATAGGTCTTCAGCAACCCATACTTGCAAAAGCCGACTTGCTTGTCGTAAGAGACTAACGGGATCGGGTGGTCAGGCTCGCTGACTTGATTGGTACATGTCAGCGTATCTCAAATGGTGGATCGATGCTCATGATTGTCTGGTCCATACTCGATTTTTTACAAACCACAGTCACATAGCTGGAATATTGCTGAGTGTGCCGTTAAACAACAAACAAACTAAACTATATACAAGATATACATACAAAAGTAAATTCCTTTGCACTGCTGGCGATCGTGGTTTGCTGCATTACACACATATCAACCAAAGTGCACTTCTAAAATCAGAGGGGGCACGGGTGGCCCAGTCGTCTCAGACGCCGCAATTCGCTGTGCAGAGTTGCATCCCTTGGGCACGCCAGAAACCTATGATTGTGGGTTCGAATCCCGGTTCACCCCAATTATGTTTCTAGGTTTTTTAGCACCATACCCGTGCTCTTGGGTTTCACCGAAGTGGTAAACGTCTGAAACCTGCATCACTTAGGGCTTTCCTCCCACATTAAGCTGACACGCCGCGATATGACTGGAATACTGTTAAAAGCGGCGTTAAACCCAACTCACTCACTCACTCTAAAACAGAAGTAAACTGAGACATCATTGCATGCTCTCGATGCTATCATGGGATGTTTGGGATGACACTGGTCCTTGGTGATGGCCAATCAGAGGAGTTCGTGTATAATCTCTATGAACAATGTTCCGGGGACGACATCTTTATTGATGTTCTTGTCATATTTCAGCATCTTCCTGGTGATGGAGTACTGTGAACAAGATCTAGCTTCACTACTGGACAATATGGCAGCTCCATTCTCCGAATCTCAGGTACCTCACACCATGCCACCAGCAAGGCCGATCTTTCCAACAAACTTCCCAACCATGTAATCTCATTAATATTAGATCTCTGCTGCAGCTTTCTTGATCTTTACGGCACTAGTTTCAAACTGGCGACTTCCATTTCAGACTACGCTTTGAAAAATAGTTCTCAATTCAAAATTTGAAAAGTGAACCAAAGAAAATTCTGGAATATCTTATAAATGGCTAAGATGGTATAACAGTACAGTAAACTATGGTTATAACGAACTCGAAGGGAACACTAACTTTAGTTTGTTATAACCGTAGTTCGTTATAAGCATATATACAGCATAACTATAGCAAATAGTCGGGACAAAAAAATCAGTTCGTTATATCCGTCAGTTCGTTATAAACGTACTTTACTGTACTTGCCATGGGCTATGCAAAGTCCCTTCCATTCAAATGTTTATCCCATTGAGGCAAGAGATAGACAATGATTTTGAACGAATCAGTCGAACAGCTCGTAACTATCGTTCAGAATACCACATGTTAACATTTCCGAGGCTGCATGATTAGAAAACACGTTTCCGACTGTCACTTTCGCGATCTGGAAAGCTACGAACTGATTGGTTGGATGAAAGGTCGTTCTGGCATGACCTCTACTGGGATGTCCTCAGATCTTTGTTTAGCTGTAGCACACTAAGATATGATAGTAATGAGATTGCCTACCACTTTTCATTGGTCAATTTGTGCATCATGTCAATCTCGTCAAAATCAGATCTTGGTCCTGATGGTGGCCTGGCAATATGTTTTTATCAAACGCTGCCTAGAAGAAATGCCTAGAAGAAATGCTTATTGGAGCAGGGTGTTAATACAGCGAATATGGTATACATCGTGTTGGTTTTATGATAAGTCGTCTATTCATGGCACCATCATTTTTCAGGTGAAGTGCATCATAATTCAAGTGTTCAAGGCTTTGAGATACCTACATGAAAACTTCATCATTCATAGGTGTGTATTACAGTATTAAGTATTCAAATAACTATTGCTATCAACAATATTTTAGTATTTGTGATTATATTATCTGTCTTGTTTTTAATCGCAGTAATCATCGCATTGATGTATAGGACTTACTCATGTAGTACCTGTTGTTACCATGGATACTCATCGACAGAAGAAACGTGAATAACGCCGCACTCAGCAATATTCCAGCTTATATGACAGCAGTCTGTAAATAATCGAGTCTGGACCAGACAGTCCAGTGATTGACATCATGACCATCGATCCACGCAATTGGGATACGATGACATGTATCAACCAAGTCAGCGAGCCTGACCACCCGATCCCGTTAGTCGCCTTTTACGGCAAGCTTGGGTGTAGGTGGGCGTGGTCCTTAGGCATGGTCTTCAGATGGACAGATATATACTCACAGACAAAGGAAAAGCGAAAACCATACATGTTGGCTAATATATGAAGAAGTACTCATATTCAAGAGACATTAGATTGGTTAGATGCACAAACGAACATACTGGTATGTTGTGTAAACCAACGCTTATGAACGCATCACATGTGATGTCATAGATCCATGACTCAAGATGCACCATTTGTCTTGTGCAGGATTACATGAAAAGTTTGGAAATCATGAGCATCAAATTGTGATGAGAATAAAGACACTTATAGTTCATACTTCTCTATATGTTACTATGGTTCACGATTCTTTTGGCAGTGAGTATATATCCGTTTAGTTTATCGCATTCATCCACTATGCATTGTGTCATATACCGTATTTGACGAAATAAGCGCCCAGGGCGCTCTCAATATTAGAAATAGGGGGCTCTTATTAGAATATAATTTTGGTGAAAAAAAACAGAGTTGAAAGTTAAATTTCGTGGTTTATGCTGACAGCCTGAAATGTTTATAATATACGACCGATATATTTTTCCAGTATTTAATTGCCCATAATTAAGGGTGCATATAACACACGAGTGCGTAATAAATAAGTCTTTTGCACATTGATCAATTGGAAGGGGTGCTAATGGGGATTGTTCACTAGCCAATATATTAGCAAATATCGCCGTGGGCACTTATTAGAGAGGGGCGCTTATTAAGTCGAATACGGTAACTAAAGTACTGTTGAAAGCAGTGTTAAACCCAACTCACTCACTCACCCTGCTGACTGCATTTATCAGTTATCAGAGCCAGTATTCAGCATGTTTATGATGCTGAGATGTAGTAGATACTAATCTGGACTTGTGTTACCATGGTTACAGGGATCTGAAAGTATCCAATTTACTGATGACAGATAAAGGATGCCTCAAAGTAGGTAAGTCAAGTCGCATCAAGCCAGTTAGCATTTGATCACTTCAGGGGGCACGGGTAGCCCAGTCGTCTAAGGCACCGCTATTCACTGTGCAGAGTTGCGTCCCTTGGGCACGCCAGAAACGTATGGTTGTGTGTTCGAATCCCAGTTCACCCCGATTTTTTTCTAGGTTTGTCAGCACCGTACCCGTGCTCGTGGGTTTCACCAAAGTGGTAAACGTCTGAGACCTGCATCACTTCGGGCTTTCCTCCCACATTAAGCTGACACGCCTTGATATAACTGGAATACTGTTAAAAGCGGCGTTAAACCCAACTCACTCACTCAATATGATCACTTCATCTATGTAGTGGACATACAGCCAGTTAATGCAGGGTCGGCTATAGAACGTCACCATGACGATGTCGTCACCGACGCCTGATATAGAGGACCCATGCAGAACGTTTTCTTCTGAACAACCTGATCTAAACCAGTCAAATGTTTCTCCATAATCTTGGTTATCTCACAAGATTAGTGTTATATTTCCAAGTCTGAAATCCTGATGGGTATCTTGTAGAGGGGTGCGGTATTATTGATATGCCAGTATGTCATCATTTGAAATACGAATGAATACTTGTCCCAATACGTTTGGAAAATACTAGTATATTTTGTTGTTAAAAATCAGTCATATTTTCATATTGTTTGCAAAGTTTACATAAGTGACAAGTCAAATTGAAATTAAGAAATAAGCAACTGGTTCCTGTGATCGAAAAAGCGAATCTATTCGCAACCAGCTTCCTGTATATGATGTGTCAAGTATGCATGTGTTGTAACCATAGCAACATCCCACAAAATGGCGGACAACTATGTGCAGGCCAAGGGAACTGTCAAAGTCATTTGGGTTTTTCTTATTCAGGTTTATAACATATCACAGATGAAAGAATTCATGCAATATATTGTGGTACTTCTTGCAATACATGAATCAATGAATGGCAATACGAAAATATTTACAAATATCATTTTCTCAATGTTTTCAGCTGATTTTGGTCTGGCAAGGAAACACAGCCTTCCTGTGAGACCCATGACCCCCCGGGTTGTCACTTTGTGGTATGTATAGTCTCGGGCTCATCCTCAGTTGTCCAGGGTGTATTATCATTTAGTTAGGATAAATACCCTGGACTCAACAACACTACGCTTGGTTTTGACAGTGACATGCCCATCTTCATCTTATCACACCCATACGGTTTGGGCAGAGGTCATTTGCCTAGTGTTATGTAACCTATGGAACCTTGGGCAGGGATGAGTCCAAATTTACTACCCAGGTATAACCCCCTATTACCTGACCCTACCCCGATACCCGCTGTTGGTCTCAAGAGTTGGTACTAAATGTCCAATTAGGAATTGTTTTACCGGACCCCTGGCAAAAGGTATTTAGATACACATATAATTCGATCTGATCATGCATACACTGAAGTTGTCTGAAGCTGTATCTTCACTGAAACTTATACAAGAAGGAATGTGAGTATTATCAGAAAGATATCTGAACATTAGCGACTTGTAGTGTAACCATTGTCTTATAGTAGTGTATTTTTCTCATTAAACAATATATCACGTGACCAACCACGTATCCGGGTAGTCCTGTGGGTACCCGGGTCCTATTCAGTACCCACCCGACCCGGGAACCCGAGGTGACCAGTCCCAGCTCTAATGGAACCATCTCAATTCACATGTGAAAGAAGCAGAAACTCGGTTCCGTCTCAAGACATTCCTGTTCAGACTCTTTTATCAAATTTAAAACCAACAACAACTGCCACATCTTGTCTTGTATCTATAGCCTATTATCAGTAGAGTGGCGGTCGGGTGGCCAGTGGTTAAAGCGTTTGCTTGTCCCGCCGAAGACCTGGGTTCCATTCCTGACATGGGTACAATGTGTGAAGCCCATTTCTGGTGTCCCCTGCCGTGATATTGCTGAAATATTGCTAAAAGGGGCGTAAAACCATACTCACTCACTCACTATTATCAGGAGAGTTTTCCACTGTTTTATGTAGTGCTGTGACCATTCACCTAGTGTATGTTATGCATATAACAAATGTACTTATTTTTGTTAATATCTGTGCCCCGTGATCTTGAAATCAACAACCAATGAAAATCACTTCTGAACGAGCTAGCACCAAATAGGCAACTAACTCTGGCATAGAACAAATAATTTAAGGTTTCTCAATCAGATTCAAACACGTGTCAATACAAAAAGAATAATTTCCCTAGTGTCTCAACTCATCATAGACAAAGAGCTTGTACAAGGGTGCCTGGTCCATCTGCTGTTACCATGGTTACGTAATATTATAAATGTATTTTTTTATCAAATTTGGGTTATAATCCCAAGAGGTCAAGTTCAAAATTAGGGCTATAAGAGGTCAAAGGCCACATAATAACTGCATCACTCTCACCAGCTGACCAGACATCGGAAAGAGTTTCTGGTAATTAAAATGACTGTGTAAAGTTATGTCTTCTACCATATTTACCAGTGGTTGACACATTGTACAGAGTTGTCTCCCTTTGCATATTACCACCAGTGTAGGCGCGCCTATTTCAACAATCTTGAAATTTGCCCACATAAATTTTGTCAGGTTTATATTTTTGTTTGTCTTTGGGAATGCCATCATAGTGAATTTTGAAAAAGTTTACAACTGACAATATATCCCATATGAATTTACCTTTTTGTTTGTTTGATCAGCTTGGTTCGAAACTGCAGATGAACGGAAAATCAACCGACTTCCGCCTTACATTCTTACTATACCAATTACATGCTAGTTGTAATGAAACAGAAGTTCAAATTGACCAACAAAGAAAATAATTTAGCAGGGTATTCAGCATCACAGCAGTCATCACTTGTTTGTAAACATCACAGTCAGTTGGCTGTGAGTTCAACTCCAAGCATGGTTGTGGCCACCTATCACAGTGGGGAGCTTTGATTGATGGCAGTGATAGTATAGAGAGCTACATGAACGGGCTATCTCTGTGAGGAGCTTGATCCACATGATATTACTTCCAGCTTGCTATGATGCTTGTGGTTCGTTAGTATCAATGGATTCCTCACATTCAGTTTTGTGTATGTACATATTCTGTCAGGTTCTGGGGTCACGGTTGGCCCAGTCGTCTAAGGTGCCGCGATTCACTGTGCAGAGTTGCATCCCTTTGGCACGCCAGAAACCTATGATTGTGGGTTCGAATCCTGGTTCGCCCCAATTGTGTTTCTAGGTTTGTCAGCACCATACCCATGCTCTTGGGTTTCACCGAAGTGGTAAACGTCTGAGACCTGCATCACTTCGGGCTTTCCTCCCCCATTAAGCTGACACCCCGCGATATAACTGGAATACTGTTAAAAACGGCGTTAAACCAAACTCACTCACTCACTCACTCACTCACTCACTCACTCACTCACTGTCAGGTTGTGACGTAAATGTGCGACCAGTGGGGACGTTAGTTTGGGGGTAACATGTGCGACAGGGATAGTGTGCTCTCAGAGGCTGAGCCCATTGCGTCTCTGTTTGTATGTTATTGACAGTTGATCCGTGGAATAAATGTACAGACTATTGTATCCTGTTCCCGAGATAATTTCTTCAGCTATAATTATTATTTCATGCTATGTCTGTCTTGGTATTTACGATCAGTTTGTATGGCACCAGGTATCGAGGGCCGGAGTTGCTGCTGGGCTCACAGAAACACACATCAGCTGTTGACATGTGGTGAGTGACTTGTCCTTTTAGCAAATTTCTTTTCACAGTGTCGTTCCACCACCCCTACCCCCATCTTCCCGAAGCAAGAGAGTTGACTGACCATAAAAGTCCATTTTCCACCCTTGCCGAACTAGGCTGGAATTCCGTCGTAGCGCCACCAGTGGCTATTACGAGTTATGTCCCTTATGAGCCTCTCCTTTAGACCAATCAGATTCCACCTCTCATATCACTTGCATTTGCTTGAAACAAAACAGTGGCGCCCAGTCAAGACGATCTGATCGATAATCAAGGTCTATATTGTGATAAAACTGGTCTTACATCACGCAATGCGTGAGCACCTTGATTAAAAACATGAAAAGATTCTGTTGAAAATGTAAAACCCTGAGGGAGGGAAAAGCCTGATGGCCGTAGGAGGAGTGTTTTATCCAACTTATGAACCGTCTGAATGCAAGAAATACCAGAAAAAAAATTAGAAATCATCAGGATACCTTATAGTGAAACAAATATAGTGTAAAGGGAAAACAATCAAAGCTTGCGAGAGAAAGACCATGTGCAACATTCACACAACTGAAGTCATGACATGTAAAATTGAACGACCTTCAATCACCTGCCCTGGTGTTTCAGTGGGAAAACAGTGGTTTACGAAACCTAACATATGTGAGGTTGCAGGTTCAATTCATGTCAATGAATTTCCAGGTGAAAACAAAATTGTGACTTTTAGCAAATCAAAAATCAACATTATATTCAGCTTCAGTTGTAAAACCTAGGTGTTACGATTCATATGTTAAACCTCAAAGCAGGTTTATGAAACTGCAATGTAATATGTAGGGCTTACATTTCAAAATGTAAAAACTATCTGTAGACACATGTTTGTTGCAGCTGTTTTCAGTAGTGAACTTTAATACAACACATTTTGCATTTTTTTTACTGACAAACACGCTGGGGGGTCGGGGGGTGGAGGGTGGGTGGGTCAATAAACATGCTGTAAGGTATTTTAGCAAGTGTATCGTCTTGTATTGATACAGATAAGAATGTATCGTGTATCACATCGGCTCATGAATTCTCACAATGCATCGATTCACTGATGTATCTATTCACCTCTACTGAAGACTAACTTTCATTGACTGTACTGGTCAAGAGGTTTCTACATGTTGTATCTGCCTAGGTCTGCTGGATGTATCTTTGGGGAGTTGCTGGCCCACCGACCTCTGCTTCCCGGGAGATCAGAGGTCCAGCAGGTCGACCTCATCGTGGAGATGTTTGGGACGCCTACAGAAGCTATTTGGCCGGTGAGTAGATTGAGAGTGTCATGATACACCAACATCATGGTACTTGTGGCAAGATATGGTATCCGTCCCTGGGCTTTATGACATTAAGAGATGATCATTAAGAGATGGAAAACTTGAAATCTCAAATCACTCTCTGATTTGAAACTTTCCAACGCTTTTCTCATAGATTTGTTTGTTTGTTTATTTATTGTTTAACGTCGTGCTCAGCAATATTCCAACTATATGACGATAGTCTGTGAATAATCACGTCAGGACCAGACAATCCAGTGACTGACATCATGAACATTGATCCACGCAATTGGGATACAGTGACATGCATCAACAGAGTCAGCTAGCCTGACCACCCGATCCCATTAGTCGCCTCATACAACAAGCATAGTTGCTTTTAACAGCAAGCATGGGTTGCTGATAAACTATTCAACCCTGGATCTTCACAGGTCTTCCATGAAAAGATAACAAGCTCAAAAGTTCAACGAGTTGAAAGCTGGAATATTGAGAGAGATGTTGAGCATTCCCGGCATTTTTTAATGATAGGTAGGGGCGGTTGGGTAGCCTAGTGGTTAAAGCGTTCGCTCGTCACGCCGAAGACCCGGGTTTGATTCCCGACATGGGTACAATGCGTGAAGCCCATTTCTGGTGTCCCCCGCCGTGATATTGCTGGAATATTGCTAAAAGCAGCGTAAAACCAAACTCACTCACTCATGATAGATATGAACTCTTGATAGTCAAATGATACATAGACTGATATCATCACAATACTTACCTAGTGCTGGTTTGTCTCCATGTGCAATGCTGTTCCATGATTGGTGAATTTAGGCTCATTCTAGTAGCATGAGCCAATCAGATTGAGTGTTACGTTTCATGATTGGCAGTATAAAGTTAAAACTAGCCAGAGAAGTTATCGTGTGGGGTTATTTCAAAATTTTGTAAATATTATTTTTTTGAAAATCGACGGATGGAAAAATGGAAAAAATGGTATTAGAACATTTTAATGATTTTATAAACCTTTCATAGGACATTCTTTTTTTTTATTACCAAACTTGACAAATATGTTCAGGATATTTTGGACGACAATTAGTCAGTCTTAGAATATGAACCCATCTGAACTCCTAAATATATATAAATATTTATAAATATATCTTCAATCTTATGTCAGATGCACGTTTGTGATGCATTGATAGAGTGGTCCTTTATCATGTTAAGAGTGGCGTCAGATTAATTTCTGAATGATAACTCCATCAAATACTAATAGATTTATTTAACCTAATTAACTCAAAGTTCAAATTAAAAAAATCTTTTCAAACTGGTCAAATCTTTTCAAACTGGCCAATATTAATGAGGTCAAAGGTCACTTTATGATAGCCACAAAATCTAAACTTATTTGGTCTAAAATTTGAAAGGATATGAAAATTGATCATGCAGTTTAGAATTATGAACATTTTGAAATACAAAATATAATGTTCTATTTTCAGGGATTTTTGGATTTGCCAGCCTTGGAGAATATTACGCTACGAAAACAACCGTAAGTGTAGAAAAATGTTGATAAATTGTCGATTATAGTCCTCCTGTACCAGTTTATTATTGTTTCGTTTAGACAGTGAACAGGTGGAATACACTAAAATAGTGAGTGAGAGTCAGCACCATACCTGTGCTCTTGGGTTTCACCCAAGTGGTAAACATCTAAGACCTGCATCACTTCGGGCTTTCCTCCCACATTAAACTGACACACCATGATATAACTGGAATACTGTTAAAAGTGGTGTTAGACACAACTCACTCACTCATAAAATCTGTATGATACACAGACTCCTGTAACAATTACTATTCATGTCATTTTTTTTAATGTTACCAAATTTTATGTAAAATTGTACATAAATTGCAGGGGAAATAGAACTTGGTGTGACAAGCAAACACCATCTTCTTGAGGCAAGGGATTTGATTGACATTTAAAGTCCAGTTTCCACCCTTGCAGAACTAGGTTGAAATTCCTGTGCTCTATACTAGAACCACCAGTGGTTATATCCCTTCTAAGCCTCTTCTTTGGACCAATCAGATTCCACCTCTCGTATCACTTGCATTTGTTTCAAACAAAATTGCGGCGCCCAGTCAAGACGATCTGATCGATAATCAACATCTATAATGTTATAAAACGGGTCTTACATCGCGAAGTGCATGAAATCACGTGAGCACCTTGATAAAAAACATGAAAAGACTTGGGAAAATATCTGTTGACAACGAGTTGGCGGTGCACATGCTTTGCAAATCATGTAGTTTACTAACCGGATTTCGATTTCGTTGAGTGATTTTGATTGGTCTATGCATAGACTCGCTAATCCAGCCAAAATGTAACTCCATAATACCAGCCTAGTTCGGCAAGGGTGGAAACTTGACTTTTATGGTCAGTTAACTCTCTTGCCTCAGGAAGATGAGCAAACACATGCACTACTACTCCTCAACATATTGGCAATTCCTTTTTTACCTGTGGGTATTTGTGGTTAGAATCTGTCCCCAGCAACCGATGCTGGCTGAAGTGATGACTACCGGTACGTGGATGGGAGGTCAGGTTCCGTGACTTCGTTGAGCAATATTGCAGCGATATGATGGTGGGCTGCAAATAATTGAGTCCAGACCAGATAATCCAGTGATTGATACTACAAACAAACAAACAAACAAACAAACAAACCTGTATGTGCCTATATTGACTCCAGATACAACAACCTGCGACACACATTCCCTTGGCTGTCCGACTCGGGCATCAGACTGCTTAATTTCCTCTTTATGTTCGACCCGGCCAAGAGGTAAGTCTTCAGTATGCTTAGTTTAACAGACCTATTTGAGGGTGAGTTTTGTGCTTAGTCTCTGACAAATCCAACTCCTGTGTATTTATGCAATTTATGACTTGAAACTTTTATCAGGTTTACCATGTGTGTAATGTCATACGAGGATGACAGGAATTTTGTGAAATATCATAGCTCTGTTTTCAGTTGATCCTATTGTAGCAGATAAAAAAATGGAACTGCAGAATAGATTATGTTCCCTTCAAAAATGTTAGGAATGATAATATTATTCTATCAATAAAATATTATGAAATTTGCTATATTAAAAAATATTATGAGCAATATTATTCTATTAAAACATTATGAATATTGTTATTGTAAAAATATTATGAGCAATAATATCATTATATCAAAAATATGAATTATAATATTATTATGTTAAAACATATTATGAAGCATAATAATATTATGATATAAAAAAATATGAGCAATAGTATTATTATTTTAAAAAATATTATGAATAATAATATTATATTAAAAAATATTATGAATAATATATAAAAAAATATTATGAATAGTAATATTATTCTATTATTATGGTGTGGAAGTTATTGTTTTTTAATTAAAATAATTGCATTAAAATCTGGTTAGTGTTTATCTTGATATGAAAATTGGAGGCTAAATGGTATCCAGATTTAGAGGCACTAAGAAATTACTAAATTGGCTAATATTGGCTAAATGACATTGGCACCGTGACAGATAATGTAAGACCAGATTAACCACATTTAACACTTTGGCCTGACATTGCCAGGGCCACAGCAGAGGACTGTCTGGACAGTGTCTACTTCAAGGAACAGCCACATCGTACGTATTGATGGACAATCTCACGCGAGTGTCTTCTGATCTCAACATACCAAGCCTCCGAATTTAATATTTAAACTTTTATCAAAAAGTGTTCTTACATTTAATACCAAAAGACGCGAGGGTGAGATTCTGGTTATCATCAAGAATCATTCTTTGAACTTTATCAGTTTGTATTCGGTAATAGCGTTCGCTCGTCATGCTGAAGATCCGGGTTCTATTCCCGACATGGGTACAATGTGTGAAGCCCATTTCTGGTGCGCCCCGCCGTGATATTGCTGGAATATTGCTAAAAGCGCATAAACCATATTCACTCACTCAGTGTAATCAGTACTAACTTGAGTCTTGAGGGTAACAAGTACAGCTAAACAGCCTTAGTGACAGAGAGATGAGTGATATAATTAGATTGCGATGTCATGGCAACTGATGATATTTTGATTGTCTGCTTTCAGCGTGTGACCCGGAGTTTATGCCATCCTTCCCTCATCATCGTCTCAAGAGGAAAACCACACAAGATACATCGAAGGAGGAGCAGTGAGTAACATATATCACCATCCATAAAGTGACCTGGCTGTAAAAGCCTTCAAAATCGATGCTAATTTATATACCCCGTCTGTTAGACGAATCGAGATGAAGCATGTCACCAGCACATACACAATCCCTCCATTTGCAATAAAAACGTGTTCTGCAGAAAAAAATGACACTGTATCCCTTCAGCGAATTCGGGGAAATGAACAGATCACATCAATTAAACTTGGTCAATACAAATTTCAAATTTGAGATAAAATATCACTAGAGATGATGACTTACCGATTAAATCATATTTCCTGTTCTGCAAGGCATTGTTTTATATGCAGAGATTATGCTATGTGTATTGTCTCGTAAACAAAGCCGGAAGCAGCAATCAGCTGTACACGTTTTCTTGGAATCTACCCGTGATTTGGTTTTAAATTACCCACTAGTATAACTTTAAAGGTAGCTCATGCAACAACACTCAGATAAACAGGTTACTACACGAGTGTCTGATACCGTTTGTCTTATGTGTTGTAAGTGGTACATGACAGGCAGGCATGTAATAATTAGTGGCAGGACGATACGCTGATGCATCGGTGGATCGCGATTTTTTACTTCTTGATACAAGTAACAATTACACTGGCACGCTAAGTAAGAAATATCGATACATACCCTAAATGTCTGCTGTAATCACTGTTACACCAAACACTAATTACCAGTGAAAACTTACATATTTTTATCCATTGCGCCATCCTTGACACTGCCGACTGTGAACCGTCAGTGTGCCTTGTATTTGTCAATCCTGTCTATAAAGAAAATGGCTTACACTCCAAAGATAAGAGCACATCAAAGTATCATGCTACGATTCGGATCGTGAGCAAGGTATCGTGATACGTATCGGATCCAAAAGTTGGTTTATCGTCCCAGCCCTAGTAGTAATCTGTTTCTTACACACCCTAAAGTCCACAATTTTAGCATTGAATTGATGCATAGTTTGTCTATTGTCATGATCGCGTGGTGCATTAATACATTACACAACGATCATTAGTGACATCATCTTACTTACTACCAATGTGAAAATTCCTCAACATTTCAGTCAGAAAACGGGAAAAAGTTACCAGACCAGATAAAACGTTGCCTGTCCAGAATATTCAAGCATAATCAGTAGAGGACGTAACGTGTACGCGAGACGGCTCTCCCGTCTCACTCGTCACTCGTATGCGTGACGGTCTGTCAGTGAACCATGGATTTCTGCATGTTGCACGTAAATGTCTCTACAAGTGTTATTTGTGAAAATAATAAAACAAAATTACGTAGAGTCATTGATAATCATACAAGTTATCGTATGACATGAAAAAAATGTCATAAGAAAAATAATAAACGGTCAAATTCAGAGAAAAATGTGAAAAAAATGAGCAAAATGTTAATGATAATGAACTAGAGTTACTAAAGGGTAAACATAAGAATAGTAGTTTAATGTTCGTTCTCAGAAAATAAAAAAAAACTGGTGGATTGTCAACTTTATCTCATTGATATTTTATTAATCAGATTCCAGGTCTGAAAACCATGGTCTGAATCAAGTCCAGATTCCATTTTAATTTCGAGCTTTTTGGCCAATAGAAAGTGAGGACAGAGTTTTGATATCCACATACAAGGAGGTGACTGAATAATGTGTTACGTTGACAGTTAATTTACCTCTTACATTGAATTAAAACTAGAATGCTAATAAACACATGTTTATTTACTGTGTAAATACAGAAGTCTTTTTCTACATGTCACTCTTCATGAACCCATTGTTTGAAATAAAATATATGGCCAAGCTGCCATCAGGACGCACAGACTTTAGAAGCTGCAGGCCCTGACTAAACTCTTCAGGCCCTCATCAGAAAACTTGAGACAAATATATAGACACATTGATTTACTGATTTAAAGACCCATACAAATCTGAAACTACAGGCCTGACATGAGATCCGACTGTTATGGGCCTGCATTATTTCAAACATTGCATGAATCCCCACAATTGAGAGTCATGATGTCACAGAATGCTTTGACACCACCATGGAATGTGATGACGTCATGACAGAATGGATGATGTCACGTTTCCGTGATAACTGAACACCTTGTTAGCAGAATATGGAAAAAGATGACTAAATCAAAGTTTTGATAATATTGAGCCAACCTAATATAGATCTGTTTAAGATTAATTTTTTAGATTGCATTGAGAAGAACATGATTGCTTACATCCTTGTGGTTTCAGAAAAGCAAAAACAGATTCTTTCAAAGATTTTGGGAGCAGCTCTGGTCTTAATTTGTCGGTATGTACAGTTTGTTTAACTAGTTTCTTGTATTTCATTTTACAATGTGCCAATGACATAGATTGATAAAAATGCAACATTTGTAGCTTACCATGTGGAGATTCCAGGGGGCAACTAGGTCTCTTGTAAATAAAGGTGTCGATCTGGTTTTCTTATTAACTCACTGAATGAAAGAGTGAGTGAGTGAGTGAGTGAGTGAGTGAGTATGGTTTTACGCTGCTTTTAGCAATATTCCAGCAATATCACGGCAGGGGACACCAGAAATGGGCTTCACACATTGTACCCATGTCGGGAATCGAACCCGGGTCTTCGGCGTGACGAGCGAACGCTTTAACCACTAGGCTACCCGACCGCCCCCTGAATGAAAGAAATATAGAGCAAGGTGACCAGTTTCTTAGAGTGGTTGACCTTTTTTGCAATGACCCCTGCAATCTAACACTGTGAGGGGGCACGGGCAGTTGTCTGAGGGGCAGGAATTTGCTTTGCACAGTTGCAACCCATAAACCCATGACCGCAGGTTCAAATCCCTGTTTCCTCCTGATTGTATTTCAATGTTTGTCAGCACAACACGTCCTCGTGGGTTTCACCCAAGTGGTCAATGTCTGAGACCTGCATCACCTCGGGCTTTCCTCCCAATTTAAGCTGACATGCCGTGATATAACTGGATGCTGTTCAAAGCGGTGTGAAAGCCAACTCACTCACTTGACATGTGGTGATTGACCCGTGAAGATCTGTGTTAGAAAAGGTCTTCAGCAACCCACGCTTGCCGTAAAAGGCGACTGTGCCTGTTGTAATAGACGACTAAGGGGATCGGGGGGATCATGCTCACTGACTTGGTTGATGCCTGTCATCGTATCCCAATTGTGGGGATCGATGCTCATAATATCCATTACTGGATTGTCTGGTCCAGACTCGATTATTTACGACAGTCAGTATATAGCCGGAACATTCTGATAGGAGTGCGACGTCCAACTACAAAAGACCGCCTCCGTGGTCTAGTGGTAGAGCGTCCGCCCGGAGAGCAGAAGGTCCGGGGTTCGATCCCGGCCGCGTCGTACCAAAAGACGTTAAAAGATGATACTTGTTGTTACCCTGTCTGGCACTCGGCAATAAAGGGCTAAAACAAGGAATGGTCGCCTGGAGTCAGTATACTGTGTCTGAGTGGGGTATTCATGTTAAACTGCGGCATGGTATCTCAGTGAGCTAGCACTATAAGTCGGTATCAGTCCGGACTAGTACAAGCAGCCACACACACACACACACATGCATGTATGTCGCTATGTAAGTGCAATAATCTTGGATGCGACGTTAAACCCAATTTCACCTCACCTCAAACTACAAAACACGTGGTAATGTGTTTTGTCTAACTAGATCTTCTCACATTTATACAGGCAAAGAAGAAGCGAGTCTAGCAACACATGAAGATAGAGATGAGCCTCTGTCCACTCCATGTGTTGCCATGAACAGATCATGCCATTGTGTCATCCTCATTTGATGCTGTAAATAAATATACACCTCATATTTGCTGATTCCTTTTGTTTTTGGAGATTCCTGGAGCATGCACTCACTACCCATAAGGTATATTAGAATATATTTTTGTTTGTTTGTTGTTTAAGAAATCGCATATCATTGGCAAGACAGAAACCTATGATTATTAGTTTGAATCCCAGATTTGACCCAATTGTTTCTAGATTTGTCAGCAACATGCCGTATTTGACGTAATAAACGCCCCGCTCCAATAAGCGCCCACAGCGATATTTGCTGATATATTGGCTAGTGAACAATCCCAATTAGCACCCCTTCCGATTGATCAATGTACACAAGACATTTATTTGTGTATAATACGAAAATATATCTATCGTGTATAATACGCACAGGTTCTTTAATATCATTTCAGGTTGTCAGCATAAACCACAAAATTTACAATCTCTTAACTGTTTTTTATCTCACCAAAATTATATCCTAATAAGAGACCCCTAGTTCTAATTTTGAGCGCGCCCTGGGTGCTTATTACGTCAAATAGGTACCCGTTTAATTCTAAGGGGTTGTATGACTCATGATAAATGATGTGCATTCTAAGTTCATCAAGAAAGATTACTTTATGAGGTAATCGCCACAAAATGAAACCCCCATTAAGTCCAACTTGTTGCCATGGAAACACGAAAAAATACAAAATTAAAAAATTCCTGTTCAAAATCCCAAATCATCAATAGGCACCGGTTCCCAACTACACTAATATATAAAGAAAGCTTCAACAAGAAATATTTACGGGTTTGGAGTTCTCCTCCAGAAAAAGAAGATGGATGGCTGACGGACAGACGGACATGCTGATCGCTATATCTCCCTGGTTTTTTTCAAACCGGGGGGATAAAAAGTAATCTCTGCAAAGATAACAGTTCACAAACAATGGTGTTTATTGAAACAAATGCTTTATTTGGGAAAGTTTATTTGAAATTGTCCAAATTTACAAAGGTCATCATACACATCATCATCATATTGTCTATAGAAGCACAGCATTATCAGCAAAATTCCACCTCTCCATCCTTGTCTACATATACTGTACATATACCTCAAGTATAGTTTATAATGAGCTACAAGAATAGTCTTCATTACACGTCTGAAAAGCAAGTGGAATTTTGCTTAAATGATATATGGTCACTGTTGTGTTTTTCTCCCGAGTTAGCTCAAGAAAATAGCACTTTAAATACCTGATTTGAAATTTGTCAAAAGTTAAGATTTACAAAAATAAGATCAATAATTTGACATTCATGTGACCATTTGTATTCTTCAAAAAATGACCATTCTTCATAGTCTGGATCCAATTAAATTTAATTTTGATCATACATACAGCGACATTTCTATCCCCTAAATGCTTACCAACAATACTGAAATTTCACATGTTCCAGATAATTTATAAATAGAGCTGAAGCAGCGCTAAGTGGAAATATTTGTTACAGGCAAATTACATGGGCATTACAAGTTAAATACAATGTATATCGATATGATCTTAACACATGGCACCCTCAAACTCCTAGGGTACTTGTATTGTAGACAATGAATAATGCCTTGGTATTACACAAAAGAATGAAATTGAAGTACCCACGGGATAACTTTGCTAAACATGCCCATTGTTTTCTGTTTGTTGTTTAATGCCACACTCAGCAATATTCCAGCTATATGATAGCGCTTGTGAATAAGCCTGGACCAGATGAGTAACAATCTACATCACCGGGATACGACGCCATGCCACCGACCAGATGAGCATCAATCTACACCATCAGGATACGTTGACTTGCCACTGACAGACCCGTGAAGATTCCAGGGTAGAATAGGTCTTCAGCAACCCATGCTTGCCGTAAAAGGCGGATATGCTTGTCGTAAAAGACTAACGGGATCGGGTGGTCAGGCTCGCTGACTTGGTTGATGCATGTCATTGATCCCAATTGCGTGGATCGATGCTCAGGATATTAATCACCGGATTGTCTGGTCCAGACTCGATTATTTACAGACCGCCGTCATATAGCTGGAATATTGCTGAGTGCGGCGTTAAACGACAAAGAAACCAAACCAAGTCAAACAGCCTGATCACCAACCAAGCATTGGTTTCGGGGGCCAATACCAACCTGGAGTACCCAGAGGCTAAAAGCGTGCATTAGATATCCCGGGACGAAATGCCCTTTAGAAAGTTGATTTGGCACTGTTGTGTCTGTCTAGGTAATGAAACTGGCTAACACATGTTGTTAGTTAGCACTAGCAAGTTCCTTAAAAGAACCAAGTATATTGAAGTTCAGAAACAGGACAAAATCCCTGGGAATTTGTGGGTGACAGAAAGGTGCCCAAAATAATATCTTGCATTTTTCAGTGATGCACTCAGGAAATAGAGCAAACATCAAAAGGACAGATGCAAGATTAGAAGGACTGACAACAAAAGATGATACTAAAGACAAAGACACCGAATCCTGAGCGCACCACTGGCCTTCTAAACGTGTGAAATAAGCATCTTTGGTAAGCCGTGATCATACAGTTTGTCAAAGGAGAATCAAGATTGAAAATGTGACAATTATTGACAGTAATCCAGAACAGAACAAGTGAAAGAGATAAATACAAACCAATGACTAATGCATAACAGAGGTAACACACAATCTGGAATATCTAGTACCGAAACGGACCTCCTACTGCTGAGAATCTTCTCCAGAGGTCCGATATCGAACTCAAGAAATCAAACAATCTTTGTCACTTGACACATGGCAAACCCTCAAAACTGAGGTGATGTTAAACACATGACAGAGTCCAGTTCAGTAACTGTATCAGCTCCAACAAAAAAACACACAAGGATTGAACATGTAGTGCCCATGTGTGAGACATCTGAATTTTTATGTTGACTTTCTACATGTATAGGAATAATAAAGTGAGAAGTCTTTTACTTGGAACACTGAGGTTCTAGCTTCAAAAATGGACACGTACCTCCCATGCTAAGGTGGATATTGAATAAACAGAGGAAATTGTACGAATACATGAAAGTGAATTGGCTCTGGTTTCTGAGGTACGACTAAACAGTTTGTATCTTACAGAAGAGATTCTGTTCTTGAACAAAGAAACTATAATGTACATGGCCAAGGATTTGAAAGGAAGCCATCCTTAGAAATAGATGGACATATACTATGTACAGTAAAAATCTAAAAGTCCAAAAATAACGCCTCTCACAATATTCTTCAGAAAGGAAAAGCTATGAGCACATAACTATAAAGTTAATGACAAATACAAAAGCAAAGTGTTCATCAGAAATTTACACATGACATGGGAAACATTGGCTACACAAAATCTTTTACAAAGAATCTCTTATTTCTTTTGTGTTCCATCGTCAATCAATTCTCTACATCTTGGCAATGTGATATGTCAATATTGACAGGTACAGTGTGCCATGCTCAAATATCTATCCTTACATGCGACAGCTTAACCCGACAACTGCGTTTCAAACAATATTGTTACACCCATAAAAAGACCCACATCAACCTTTTTGGGAAAAAGAGATGTTGAGATGTTGCGCGATGTCCCTTGTGAAACACTGCAAAGTGAACCGTCATATTGTCTCTGGTTAGTTGTAGGTGCATCCCTCAGAGGGCTGTGAGTGTTTACAGTTGTCCTTATGTGACATCAGTTTCCGCAAAGCCTGCAGTATCGATTTAAGACAGAATCGCCCCTTATGTTTACAGTCATCAAGCTTTTTTAAATCAACCTGGAAAAAAAATAAAAATAAATAGAATCATGTTTTGTGTTCTTTGTTTCATGTTTAACATCACACTCAGCAATATTCCAGCTACATGACGGCGGTCTGTAGATAATCGTGCATGGACCGGACAATCCAGTGATTGATATCATGAGCATTGATCGATCCACGCAATTGGGATATGATGACATATTTCAAACCAAGTCAGCAAGCCTGACCACCCGATCCCGTTAGTCGCCTCTTACAACAAGCATAGTCGCTGTTCATGGCAAGCATGGGTTGCTGAAGACCTATTCTACCCCGGATCTTCACGGGTCAAATCAAATCATGAATCGTCAATGCAGTTACTACATTTAATAGGGAGGGAGTTTGGTTTAATGCAGATATAAACAGTATTTCAGTTAGGTCATGACATGTCAGCTTGATGTTGGAGGAAAGTGGGTTCTGGCTTCTTGATGACTTTGGCAATAGTGTAGGATCTACAGACACTCCATATCTTTAATATCTTTCATTCTTAATATCAAACACTGACATTGGTAATCTACAGAACATGGCAACATGACTGATAGAATACTTACAACTCCTTTAGAATCTACACAGTTCAAATTGACTTTAGTAACGAATCTCATAGTTGGGCATTCATCAGGGTAGTTTTCTCCACAGTGAATTCGCAGGTTGTAAATTCTTCCCTCAAATGGTGACTGTAAAAACAAAAACAAGAGTGAGTGAGTGAGTGAGTTGGTAGAGTTTTTCGCCGCTTTTAGCAATATTCCAGCAATATCACGGCGGGGGACACCAGAAATGGGTTTCACACACTGAACCCATGTCGGGAATCAAATCTGGGTTTTCGGCGGGACAAGCGAACACTTGAACCACTAGGCTACCTGACCACCTACAAAAAATAGAAGGTCATTAGATTTCTTATTTTTTTAACAATCTGCAAGGACAAGGTATGACATAGTTTTTCTGGCCTACTAGAATATAAAGAAATTATTGGATATCTTCCTAGGACCATATTTTTCTTCCACTACCATTATATAGTACCAATTCATGAACAAACTGTTTGTTTGCTTGTTTCCTTGTAATTAACGCCACACTCAGCAATATTCCAGCTATATGACTTCGGTTTGTAAATAACCAAGTCTGGACCAAACAATCCAGTGATTGACATCATGAGCTTTGATCCACGCAATTGTCCACCAAGACAGTGTGTCTGACCATCCCATCCCAATAGTCGCCTCTTACGACAAGCATAATTGCCTTTTACGACAAACATAGTTGCCTCTTAGGACAAGCATAGTCGCCTTTTACAAACAGTACAAACTGAGTACCCTGGGTGGTCCAATGATAGTGCCCGTCCATCTGAACAAGTGTCTATCATCTTCGTCTTCCAAGCCCCAACTGATTGTGCCATCACCGTTGCCCTTCTCGCCTTGCTCCAGCTCCTCCAGCAGGTAGAACCCACGGGGCATCTCCGCTGAAACCACAAGCCCACCATTGCAACTTTGAAACAACAAGCCCACCATTGCAACTTTGAAACAAGAGGCCCTCCATTGCAACTTTGAAACAACAAGCCCACCATAGCAACTTTGAAGCTGTAAGTCCCCCATCATGAACGTGTACTAGCTGTAGTACCTGAGCTCTGTGCCCTAATTAATGATTTCAATACTGACTTGTCATTACACAGGTGAGGTGAAATGGGGTTTAACATCGCGTTCAAGATTGTAAACCTATAGAAAGTGTGTTCTGTGTTGTGATTGGCTAATTTGGGTCACATGACCAAATGTCAAAGGGTGAAAATATGATTTGCATTCCCTGAAGCAAGCGACCGAATCACTGTGTAGGAAATAGAGATTTCTACACAAGTGTCTGTCAGATACTATTGATCTTACGAGTTGTTTCAAAACGTATCTAATGAGCGAAAGCGAGTAAGATACGCTTTGTAACAACAAGTTGGTAGATCAATGGTATCTGACAGGCATGAGTGCAGTAATCTGTTTCTTACACATCCCAGATCACACCTTTTTAGCATCGAACCGATGAATTTGTCTCTTCTCATGATTGCAGTAGCGCATTAATACATGACACCACTGTCATAAGTGACATCATCCTATGTGCTGCTTACTACTCAAATAATGTGACCCTACACTCACTAAAAGGTTTCCATCATACCTGGATTATCAAGGCGATGATGAAAATGCAAACTAGACAAAAACAAAGAACAAGCTGGGTGCCAAGTTGAAAGTTTACACCTCAAAGAAATTACCAAATATGTACAACAATGTTTACTTCCGTATGACATCACTACCGGTAGCCGACTTTTACAAAATGGCGTGTTCACTGACAACAGTACGCAGGATTTCCAGAGGAGGATTTTCGTTGATTGAGGGATTGTATACACATAAATGGGTCACGTAAGTAATCAGAAGCATTCTGACAATCTGTGTACTATTATTTGTTTACCATGTTTTCCAATGTAACAAAGAGAATTAGTCAGAAATGCAGATAACTACCGTCATCGTTGTGCATGATTTAGCATCAGTCATGGCGACACACAGGACGGAAACTTTTGTAAATGGCTTCTGTTGACATGGTTGAATTTACCACATCATTGTAATGTATATATGTGTATTTCCATAATTAGTGCAACAATACTCTTCCCATTAATATTCTCAAACGCGTGATCGAGCCAATGTATGCAACAATTAGACGAAAGTACCTCTAAATATGTTACACAGTGTTAAATCTGAATTTTGCTTTGTTTACATTTCAGCAAGTACAGTTTTCCGAGCACAGTTTTCGTTTACATACCTAATTTATTTCGCATGATTTCATCTAGATAATTCGCATTGGTGACAAAGACCGTTTATCATGTTTATCCATTGTTTCGAAAATGTATGAGGAATTCAGGGATGCATGTATAGCAGCTGAGTTTGAAATATACCTGATCGAATAGGCGTCTCATAACCGGCATTTTGTAAACACAATCCAACATGGCGGAACGTACACTTTGGCGTTCGTGTATGTGTTTTTTCCAAAACATTCTAAACGATTCTAGGCTTATCAGCGACGTTTCAGAATTATCAGTAGTGATTTGATACCTGTGATCGCTAATATGCTATTTTTCTACTTTAATTATTCGAGTCAATATCCAATATTTAGATTTCTAAACACACAGTAAATATTTATATAACGCCGTGAATTGTGATTTGGCGAGATTTACAATGTACCTAATTTTCAGAAGTCACTTTCAGTAATTTTGAATTGCCTAAAATGACAGTAAATGATAAACAGAAGGGGGAATTCAAAACTTGGAAGTGTATTAATCTGCATGATGTATTTTGAATTTTATTCTATTTTGAAGTGAGGGTTGAAGAGGAGGGACACATGTGTCGCTGTGGCATCCAGGGGATTTACACTCTGAAAAAACCCGATTATGTTGACATAACAACAGATAATGTTACGGATTATAATAACAAACAAACTCGCAGACGATTTGGAGTTTGTTTATTTTTATTATTAATTATACGGTCCTGTTGTTCAATACAGACGTAGGTGAACATTTGACTGAAGCAAGAGCAACTTATGAATGACTTACACTCAGGAAAGTAGTCCGTCATCATAACCAAAATTACAATCACCATAGCAACAACAGAACGTTCGATGTTGACGCCTCACAACCGAGTAAGTACGAGGTGTAAAAGAGTGTGCATGTTTTTTTCTAAATAAAACAATAGGTTTACAATATTGATAAATACTATGTGTGTGTCTATTTCCAGGATTTTATCGAGTATTTGCATCTTGGAAATTCATCTCGAGACCCGAAAGCATTAGCTTGAGGGGCTCGAATGAAAATTTCTAAGATGCAAATACTCGATAAAATCCCGGAAATAGACACACACATTGTATTTATCTTCTAATTATTGCACTTATATAGCGACGTGCATGTGTGTGTCTGCTTGTACTAGTCCGGACTGATGCCGATTTATAGTGCTAGCTCACTGAGATACCATGCCGCAGTTTAACATGAATACCCGACTCAGACACAGTAAACTGATTCCGAGCCGACCAGTCCTTGTTTTGGCCCCTTAATGCCGAGCGCCAGACAGGGTAACAACAAGTACCATCTTTTAACGTCTTTTGGTATGACGCGGCTTGGGATCGAACCCCGGACCTTCCGCTCTCCGGGCGGACGCTCTACTATTAGACCACGGAGGCGGTCCGTCATTACACAGACCTACAGGCTGTCCCATATAGGCCAGTAGGAAAATCCTTAATTTAATTAAACCTAGACATTTTCGATAACATACAAACATGCGTGCCACAAGTATTTACTTCAATCATAAAGTAGCTGCAAACATTCAAGAAGGAACAAAGAAGACCAACTTATTGACAGCTGATGCATGCTTAAAGGGAGACAACTCAAGTATGATCTATCCTTAATCGACCGTGACCTAACTCCCTTGACAATTAATCCCAATTCTAATCTCTGTCATCATAATCTGTATTTGTCTACCATCATTGTCCTGATAAATAAAATGGTGAAATATATATTTGCCAGAGGTTGATTTTAGTTCAATAGTTGGGTTTGGCATGGTGTGAGAGAATATACAGACAAATTTTATGTTAAAATGAATTAATGTATAATACATAAATTCATTTTAACATAAAATTTGTCTGTATATCAAAAATGTCTAGGTGTTTGAATATTTCTACTGGCCTAATAGTGTTTTCCTAAAAGATGCCTGATCCAAATCTGCATCACACTTAATATGCTTCAGCAAAGTGCATGCATCATGATCTAAAGACAAATGCAACATACTTTACTTCCTGAAACACTTTCCTTCAAATATGAGTACTTGTATTTTAGATCGTAGAACAGTGCATTTACCCATCAAGTTGGAAACCGGAACTGTAAAGATTTTTTATTGCAATAGCGGCTAAATATCTGTACCCTCTTGATGACTCCAACCTCATATGTAAGAAGGAAGTTGCATAATAAAAAAATAAGTATACATGCGTTTTACTTTAAGCAAGTGTTTTAGGAAATGAATCATGTATGTTGCAGTTTTTGAAGGATTACAAATCACGAACTTGAATATTTAAAACCTAAGTGTGATGTGTTCAGTGACACATGAAGTTACTTAATCAAAATTAAATGTCATGGTCAATATCACCATCACTGCTCCAACCTGACGCTTTGTGCCTAGTCTTCCAGACATGCAAGCTGGTGCTTGCTTCCTTCTATGGGTTTTTAGTCATGCACATAGCAACTGCAGCTTAGGGGTCTTCAGTTTGATGGTCATGATTATGTTTTATTCAGCAATGAAAAAATGATGCACCAAGTACTGATACCAGGTCCAACAAGCTTTGTGTGATAGCCACCTGGTCTGCTTTCACAAATATTGATGATGTATTGCTCTTCATAGATATATTATATATGTGCAAATAGTCGTGAAGTACCCACAATTTGATCATGTGAATTTTGTTCATTTTGTTCATATAATTTGTTCATATAGTAGTGAATATAAACTATAGAACTATAGAACTATATAAACTATATAAACTATAGAAAAAGAGTCCGAGAAAGCATTAAGAAGAGATAGGCCCTGGGGTACTTTATATCACCAGAATTTTTTTTATTAAAAATGAAACTCAAACACACAAAAGGCCCTCTCTCTGGAAAATATAAGTTATGGCACTAATTCTCGAACTCTTGGTAAGTATCTCTTAGATAAACTAACTTCAGTACTTTCTGGGAAATGTTGTCCCAATGTTGTCCCAATTGAAACCAGTAAAAATAAAAGCATGGAGTAAGGGCAATAACTATAAAAACATAATTTTCGGGACCAATTTTCGAACTCAGTCTTGACAAGTATCCCTTAGATAAGCATGCAAATTGTTGTTCATGTAACGTCAGTAGTTTCTGAGAAAGCTTGTCCCCAGTGCACACAATGCACTAAGTTGAAAAGCATTGAGCAAGGGCCGTCAATCTGTAAACAAATAATTGAAGGGACCAATTTTCGAACTCAGTCTTGAGAAGTATCCCTTAGATAAGCATGTTAATTGTTGTTCATGTAACGTCAGTAGTTGCTGAGAAAACTTGTCTCCACTTCACACAGTATGCACAAAGTAGAAAAGCATGGTACAAGGGCCATAACTCTGTAAACAAAATATGAATTTACAACACCAATTTTGGAAAATACTTTGGTAATATCAGTGTGTAAAATTACATTTCTTTGATTTAAATAGCTTTTGAGAAAATTTGTCCCCTTTGAGAACAAAACGGATGAACCCGCCCCACTTCGTCGCAGGGGATAATAATCTAAATGGACCATGTATTACTATCAGTGTTCCTGTTTACCGGTAATTACCAGTTTTTCACCGGTAAAATTAGGCTTGGACCGGTAATTCATGTGACTGCCAGTCCCTGTCGACCAGCAAAACGACGGCGATATTCATATGAGTATATTTTTTCAAACAAGTCAGCTTGTCTAGGGTTTCCCCTTGTCTATTTCTAGTGCAAGGAAATAACATTACAATATATATTTGTAGTGACTTAGTCTCAAAATATTAAAAAAGAAGAGAGAATTGTGACTGAACTTTGTGTGAATGACGAGTAGATATAACTACGCTACTTCAGAGATGACATCATTGCATTGAATATGATGTTGAAAGAATTAATACCAGGTAATTTTCAAACATTTTTTAGTTGTTGAAAGTTGGGACTGACAAAAATTAGAGGGAACTGGTAATTTTTAAAGTTGCCAGTCCACTAGGACTGGCAGTTTCAAAAGCTAGCGGAAACACGGACTATTAGACTTCAGTTACTTTCAAAACCTGAAAGGTCCCAACACATTCAGTGTAACACACAGATTCAGTGTAAGAGTGTATGCATTATCACAACTATCAGTGCCCCAAGTTCACAGCAAATGTTAGCATAGAAATTACACAAATTGGCATACAAAATTACCGATTTAGGTCACTAAAAGAACTTCTGTTTTAGTTTACTTGTACTTCACTAATAACAGGACCAAACAGAAAAGAGATTTTATTCTTAGATAAATTACATAATTTCATTGACCAATGTTGAAATCTGAATGCATTGTTAAATATCTCTTCATTCTCAGAAAATAACCATATTAAAACAAAATCTCAATTTTGATCTAAATAATTTACCTGCCAAGGGCACTTCGTGTGAATGAGACATCCTACATAACTGCCCGAGTAGGTTCCCAATGCCAGGTGGTCTGGCTCAGTGACTCAGATGAATGTGGGTCATTGTATCACTACCACAACTGCATGTTGTTTATAGCTGCTATCATGAGTCAGCAATATTCCAGCTACATCATGGGGCTTGTAGTTAGTCCAGTCAGTGCCAGGTAAACTAGTGATAGATATTATGATCAACTTCCCATGCTGCTGGGGTACAAATCCATGCAACGAACCAATTCACGGAGTCTGATAATCTTACCACATCTACGGTCTGTAAATAATCCAGTCTAGACCAGAAAATCCAGTGACTGACATCATGACATTGATCCACGCAATTGGGATACAATGACATGCTTGGTTGGTTGGTTTGTTGTTTAATGCCGCACTCAGCAATATTCAAGCTATATGACGGCGGTCTGTAAATAATCGAGTCTGGACCAGACAATCCAGTGACTGAAATCATGAGCATTTATCCACGCAATTGGGATACAATGACATGCACCAACTAAGCTAGCGAGCCTGACCACCAGATCCTGTTGGTCGCCTCTTACAAGTATTGTCCCCTTTTACGGCAAGCATGGGTTGCTGAAGACCTATTCTACCCTGATCTTCACGGGTCATGTACTGGGAACCCTTTCTGAGGTGCTGGTTAATGGTTATAAATGTGAATGTCACAGGATAATAATTAATAATAGAATGGTAAAATAATACGAAATTATTTTTTTGGTATAATATCGAAAGTGTTATCATGGTTACATATATACTTCTTATGATTATTGGTCATTATTGGTCATTATTGGTGTTGATCATGTTAAGATTAATGTATGACATAAAGTCATCTATATTTCTATTGACATTTCGTGTTCTTGCTACCTGCATTTTCTATTGTGTTGTCACTGGGACCTCCAATAATTAATTTTAATGGTCTTTGCGGGCAATATGAGGGTCCTGTAAACATGGTCAAGTAATGAAAAGGTGCAGTATACCGTATGTTTATATAATTACTTCAGTGCCTGGAATGAATAAATTATCATGTGGACAGTTGTCATGATTGATGGGTGAAATACCAGACATCCGTAACTGTTCTTGATGCGCTGTAGGTTCACCAATAGTACTGTGCATCCCTCGGGACACAGTATATTTTTTTTCTGTGTACATTCTTTACATTTGTGAGTACTAGACACACATTTGTGCATCACTAAATCCCTGGTGACTAGGTTAAGCAGCTAGACTCAGAGACTTTTTAGGGCTTCAATCCTGCCCCACTCTGTAGCATACGTAGCACAAGTGGTGTCTCCTTCGTCAAGTGACTTTGTAATATGCCTCTGTTCACCCAGGAGTTAAATTGGTTACCCGGCAGGATGAGATGGTGTTGTTGTGACTGTTAACTTTCTTGCATCTGACAACTCACATGGCTGCTTGGGTTGCATACTCCTCAGGGAGCTGAGAATGAAAACTGAGTGCACACTTGTCCATTGACCGGGGTAATAATGTTGGCGCTTTGAGCATCCACCTTGTGTATGGAGTCAAGCGCAATGTAAGTACACACATTATTTATTCATTTTTATGGACCAGCCAGTGAGACAGGAGCACCTGGCATCCAGCAAGGAAACATTATTGATTGCAGTGTGTATAACAAGGGATGTATACAATTACAAACTAATGTCAGTTATTCAATGCATTTTACACTTATGCATTAGGTTAACGTTTAAATTCAGAGATATTTCCCCCATCCCCCCCAAAAATGTCTAAAATTTGAGTCAGTTTACTTTGGTTTTAGGAAGCCTTCAGTTTGAGGTTAATATCGTCAACATCAGATCTTAGTTCTAGCTCCAATAAACAAAGACCTGAGGACATCCCATTACAGGTCACGTCAAAATCACCTTTTGCGAAGGTATGAGAATGTGTAAAGCTGTAATACAAACTCATTCTGATTGCTAATATGTTTATCACAGTGGGTTGTCTTTCACTTGACAAAGTTGTTGGGAAACATTAAGCCTCAGTAACATTTCTAAAAATCACATTAATCTGGCAATGTGCAACTTTGGCCACAAAGCCTGGGTCCAGTATAATTCTTCTGGTTCAGTAAGATCACATTATCAGCTGATTATACGAGCCTATAAACTAAGACTATAACATACTTAGTGAGTGAGTATGGTTTTACACCGCTTTTAGCAATATTTTAGCAATATCACAGCGGGGGACACCAGAAATGGGCTTTACACATTGTACCATGTGGGGAACTGAATCCAGGGCTTTGGCGTGACAAGCGAACACTGGAACGACTACCCCACCGCCCCCTAAAATATACTAAAGTTATGCCAAAATACATTTCTTGCTGGTAGATTCGAACATTTTTGACACTGATGGCCCTCAAATCTCTTGAATACGCATAAACATGATACATGTAAAAGGATATTCTCATATGTATACTAAAAGTAGCTTGATCATTGCCAATTGACTACTGTGAATCAAAGTAATTGTTTACCATGTTTAACGAAACAATGTCAAAAAAACATAATACTTTGAAATGCATCATTTCATTAACAGTCCATTTTATAAACCAAATAACATGCTGAAGAAACGATGTCGTCACCAGGCAAGATTCAACTGTTTCTTGGCAACAACAAATATAACTGAAGATAGAAAACGCCATTAGTTACAACGAACCCATTCGCCTGACGAATGGATGTTCATTTTTCACACTTTCAGCGTTTAATGCTAATTAAATACCCACAAAAAAACTCAAAACATTTCCACTTAAGACTTTTCTGGACAATCAATACATTATCCAATCTAAATATTTCCTCTTCCTGTCATGGCTAGAAATACAATGCACCTACTGGTTCGCACATGTTAAGATGAAATTCCTTTAATTACATGCAATGCAACATGTGCGTTGGCGTTTATTCAACCATAGCATCTCTATATATTTGACAAGTTAATCGTCTAAGCCTGAAGGAATATCATATCCTGATAAAGACTTTGTTGGGGCCCCTTTGGGGCGTTACAAAACATTACTTCATTCTTACACACGTCAATATAGACAATTGTGTTGAATGGTGAAGTCCCTAACTCGAACATAATGTTGAAATTATCCATTTCGCGCAACAAACGACACCACTGGCTATCATGAAGACTTCGAGTCGAGCATTTTCTGCTTTGATCATGTGGCCAAATTCATGTCCGAGAAAAATGGCGGTACCATCGCTCAGCAATGCTTTTAGCAACCTAGTGAGAAAACGACAGTCTGTGATAGTAACATCTTTTCCCCATTTGTTCATTTTATTGTATACTCCATTTACCTTACTAAATTATCAATCTTTTGTAAATATTTTAAACAAATATTCCACAAACCTGAGCCCTGTGACTGCTGCATAAACGCCGCCATTTTGTTTTCTCTGCTGTGTGAGATGTTCCGGAATATTCAGCAACCAATCTTGTTCAAAATATATTCGTGCCGGGGCAGTTAAAACGGAGTTTCTCTAAAAACTCTAAAATTAATTACTTGGTTTTGTAAGAAGACGCAATTAATTTCCAATACAATAATTCACTGCGGAATATTAAGATCGGAGTTTAGAAACCGGGATTAGAAATAAAATAATAAAATATGAAATCACAGGCGAAACGAAATATATTACTACCATCACGAACACATTGGCTGGATTGATCAATTTTATCAATATCGTTTTATTCATCTTAACTATTTCAATTCGTAAGCTAATACGGGAAGCTCCTGGGTTAGAATAGTTCCCAGTAGCATATGTGGTCAGCTTCGGTGACATTTGTTGTTGATTGTGTATTTATTAAGTATCTTATCCCGAAGGCTTTGGAATTGCTCTTAACAGCAGGATTTTCGTTGCGTGCGGCGTTAAACAACAATCTGAATGTTTCTTGAATCTCTTGGTTTGCGAAATATAAGGATAAAAAACACACTATGAGGCAAAGACTGCAAAACCAGGTAGGCCTAAGAAGTACAAGAGAAAATGATCCCACATTTGTTTTTAGAAAATGGGCTCAATAATTAATTGTTAAATTTTAAAATTACGATAATTGAGGCAGCAGCAACCACTGTCACATAAAAAGCCAGAGTCAATGGCACCTATATACACCAGGAGGCCTTCTGGAGAAGTTAGGATTAGTGAGGTGAGGTGAAATTGGGTTTAACGTCGCGTCCAAGATTATTGTACTTATTTTGGGACGTGCATGCACGTGTGTGTGGCTGCTTGTACTAGTCCGAACTAATGTCGATTTTATAGTGCTAGCCCACTGAGATACCATGTCGCAGTTTAAAATGAATGCCCCACACAGACACAATATACTGCCACGGGGCTGACCAGTCCTTGTTTTAGCCCCTTAATGAGGGTGACAACAAGTACCATCGTTAAACGTCTTTTTGGTATGATGCGACCGGGGATCGAACCCCGGACCTTCCGCTCTCCGGGAGGACGCTCTACCACTAGACCACGGAGGATTAGTGATGGGCCCTTTTTATTTATTTATTTAATGTTTTTTTCACAATTTGAATTGGATAAAAGAACCTCTGAGACGCCTATGTGTATTCCACCTCACCCAGGCCACTTGGATGAAAGTCCAAGATATTTGCTTACAAGTGTGTAAACTTGATATTAATTTAGTTAGTCAAGTTAAGTAAGTGAAATTTAAATTTCTTTAGATATGCCAGTGTTCAAAATGTTTCATAAGTTTCCCATGCCGCTTCCATGAGTGAGTGAGTATGGTTTTACGCCGCTTTTAGCAATATTCCAGCAATATCACGGCGGGGGACACCAGAAATGGGCTTCACACATTGTACCCATGTCAGGAATCGAACCCGGGTCTTCGGCGTGACGAGCGAACGCTTTAACCACTAGGCTACCCGACCGTCCCCGCTTCCATGAAGTTGTTTTTTACACAAAATGGTTCCGAGGCAGTATCTGCGCTGCGTCACGTTTATTCTTTTCAAAATTTGCCGTGGCTTAATAATCTTCATCGGGACCAGGACTAAAGAAAGTTTGGTTCGAATCATATTTACCGTTCGTTGTTTGTCTACTAACCCATTGTTTTTATTTTATTTACAAATAATGTTTGTTCGTGTATGACAGATGAAAAGAAGAATTGCCCAATCAAAACGGGTATCAAAATATTATCTTATCTGATGTTATCTTATTTATGGTGTGTATCAATCTGGCAGGTGCTAATTAACATAATTATTCAGATACAATTTCACACATGCACTAATTACAAAGGCGAGACAATGACTGGAAATCGCATGGCTCTTCGTATTCGATTTTCATTTCCTGTAACATTTCTACTTTTTAACCCACCACATTTCCGATATGTATTTACAATCCGGATTGTATTGCCAGTGACGTCATGACATATTTTGCTTTCGCGGGGATGTCAAAACATTTCAGTTGTCATCATTTGGTGAATGGACAGTTCACGTATTATCATGGCTGTGTCAGTGGAAATATTTATGATGGACATGTGAGAAAATAGGACATATGGGTGCCTTTGATTGATTTTAATGGTAAACAAGGGCTTTTAGTGGATTTACCGTCATCGTGCACCTGCCTGTTCGCCGGTTTTGCATATTGTTAGACTCGGTAAGAGTCTCCATATTAATCTATAACAGTAGTCTTATTTGATGATACTTTGATTTGTGATGTTGAACGTATGCTAATGTTTTCAAAGCCATTCGCCTTGCACCAATGCTTGTCACTGTAAACAATAAAACATGTATACGAGTTTGTCCCCCAAATGCTTTGAGGTCCGTATACATGTAGGGCTGGGACGAGTCCAATTGTACGACCCTGGTACTCGACCGTCACACCCTCTTACCCGACCCTACCCGAGTACCCACTGTAGGTCACAAGAGTTGGGCACGTAATGTCCTATTGGGAATTGTGTACCGCAGCCCTGGGAAGTGCTATTTTCACAGACTGTCTCCGTGGTCTAGTGGTAGAGCGTCCGCCCGGAGAGCGGAAGGTCCGGGGTTTGATCTCCGGCTGCGTCATACCAAAAGACGTTAAAAGATGGTACTTGTTGTTACCCTGTCTGGTGCTCGGCATTAAGGGGCTTAAACAAGGACTGGTCGGCTCGGAGTCAGTATACTGTGTCTGCGGCATGGTATCTCAGTGTGCTAGCACCATAAATCGGCATCAGTCTGGACTAGTACAAGCAGCCACATAAACACACACGTACATGCACGTCGCTATATAAGTGCAATAATCTTGGCCGCGACGTTAAACCCAATTACGCCTCACCTCACCTATTTTCACACACGTATAAAACGATCGGATCATGCATACGCTGAAGTCGACTGAAGTTATATTTTTATTCAAACGTATAAATGTCAGAAACAGTATGTGCATAGTCAGAAACAAATGCAAACATATGTGATTTTTATTGTTGTTGTATTTAAACGATATATCATGTTACTTACTACGGGGCCGGGAAGTCTTGTGAGTACCCGAGTTGCCCATCCCATCTTAAGGTCCATGCATTGTACTTTCCAAGTTTACCGGGTAGATAATTAAAGTTCCGGCCATTGGCTCACTGGAGATTCTTAGTTTAGATAGGTTTCTAATGACCTATGTTAACCTATGGATCATGTGTTCAGTCAATATGAGTTATTTTGCATGTTAATCGCACCAATTCTCACAATATCAATCGCTGGCTTGTCTTCTCCAGATTTTATTAATTGCAGGTCTCCATGATGTTGCTGGAAAATTTCTGACTGCGTCTTTTTTTAAACAATCAAAGATCTTGTCATTGATTGCTGGGGCTGTGAATTGGCAAAAACATATCTTTATTGCAATACATATTGTGGTATATTGGGACCTTAGTGTTTGACACTGATTGTACATGCAGACCCTATTTTCTACATACTACAGTAAATATGATCAGTTTCTGCTATTTGTAGTCATGGATACAGGGGAGATAACAATGTGAGAAAAAAACTTTTCATGTTTCTGCCGTTTTTTCGAAAGGGAAACATCCTTCATTTGCAAATGAATTTCTTGGTAGATTTCAGGTTAGATGATACAAAAAATGTCTTGTTATATCTTTTTTTACCCAAAATAAAATTTGTGAAACGGTAATGCTGTGTAGTCCTACTGATTGTTCTATCTGAAAGGTCATAACTGTCTTCTTTGCTAGCAGACATTGACATAGCTGCACACCCCTTGTACAGTGATGACTTAAAGAGTAGGATGCTAATTCTGCATTTTGTGTTCACGAGTGACATCAATGTGCACATTGACAAATCTCATCTATGCCCTATTTGCCAAACATTTACCTTAAACCTTATTTGCATACTGTATTCTCGTACAAGGTGACTAATGGGATCGGGTGGTCTGGCTCACTAACATGGTGGGACGGTCGAGTAGCCTAGTGGTTAAAGCGTTCGCTTGTCACGCCGAAAGACCCGGGTTCGATTCCCGACATGGGTACAATGTGTGAAGCCCATTTCTGGTGTCCCCCGCCGTGATATTGCTGGAATATTGCTAAAAGCGGCGTAAAACAACAAACAAAGCATACTGTATTCTACAAATAGCAATGTGACCAGCTGGAATTCTTTTATCCATTTTAGATTCATTGCCAGGGATTTACCTAGTAGTTTAAATTTTAGTCATGAATATATGGATAAAAAATAAATAAATACCATGAACAGTTGAATAAAACAGATAATGGAAAAAAATAACACTGTCTGGTACAGTTCTTTGGCTATTTGAGTTGGATCTAGCACTGACTGATAAAAATATAGCTTAATATTGCTGAGTGCAGCGTTAAACAACAAACAAACTAACTTGGTGGGAAATGTAAACTTTTACATTTTTAATGAATCTATTTGGTCTGAAAGATCCTGGTATATTGCTACGTTGGTGTTTAGCTACAAATTGTTGACAAATTATAACCTAAAATTTTAATCAGGTTTTATAATACAGATGAGAGTTTATAACATAATACAGAATACCAGATAAGCTGATAAAATACGCAAAATAAATCATTACTTAATTTATTTTGAGTATCAGAAGTCCCCTGAAAGAGCATTCTACAAAGAAATATGGAGGGAGTGAGTGTGGTTCGACGCCACTTTTAGCATTATTCCAGCAATTTCACGGCGGGGAACACCAGAAAATGGGCTTTACACATTGTACCCATTTGGGGAATCAAACCCGGGTCTTTGTCTACTCCACCGACCCAAGAATTATTTAAGTCCACAATACCATACGCATCTCGATACACAGGTCACGATATGGTTTGTATCTCTATATGTCAGTGAGTGAGTTGGATTTAACGCCGCTGTTAACAGTATTCCAGTTATATCATGGCGTGTCAGCTTAATGTGGGCATCCTCCCAAGGCATGGGAGTAAACTGACGATAAAAGTCCAGTTTCCACCCTTGCCGAACTAGGCTGGTATTATGGAGTTACATTTTGGCTGGACTAACGAGTCTATGCATAGTCCAATCAAAATCGTGCAACGAAATCGATATCCGGTTCGTAAACTGTCGTGCAGATTTCGGTTGATTGCAGGATTTGCAAAGCATGTGCACCGCCAACTCGTTGTCAACAGATATTTCCAAATCTTTTCATGTTTGTAATCAAGGTGCTCACGCACTGCGCGATGTAAGACCCGTTTTATCACAACATAGACCATGATTATCGACTAGATCGTCTTGACTGGGAGCCACTGTTTCGTTTGAAGCAAATGCAGGTGATACGAGAGGTGGAATCTGATTGGTCTAAAGGAGAGGCTTAGAAGGGACATAACTCGTAATAGCCACTGGTGGCGCTGCAATAGAGCCCAGGATTTCCAGCCTAGTTCGGCAAGGGTGGAAACTGGACTTTTAAAGTCAGTTAACTCTCTTGCCTTGGGAAGATGAATGTGGGAGGAAAGCCTGAAGTGATGCAAGTCTCAGACGTTTACCACTTCGGTGAAACCCACGAGAATGGGTATGGTGCTGACAAACCTAGAAACATAATTGGGGCGAACCGGGATTCGAACCCACAATCATAGGTGCCCCCCTCTATATGTCAGAATAACAGCACAAAGGTGTGAACTGAAATTCTTGTGTATTTCAGATGAGTGAAAAATAGCTGTAACTGTTTCTCCCTTGTTAACTGTTCTGTTGAATGATCACAAACAGCTGATTAGTAAGATGCGGGCAGTCTTTCAAGCTCACATTTATTCCTAGTTAGATTAGTTATTGTGACCCGTGAAGATCAGGGGTAGAATAGGTCTTCAGCAACCCATGCTTGCCGTAAGAGGCGACTATGCTTGTTGTAAGATGCGACTAAAGAGATCGGGTGGTCAGACTCGCTGACTCGCGTGGAATGATGCTCATGATGTCAGTCACTGGATTGTCTGATCCAGACTAGATTATTTACAGAGCACTGTAATATATTGCTGAATGCGGCATTAAACAACAAACAAACAAACAGTTACTGTTTCGTTAATAAAGTTAAAGATGTATATTTTGTATTGTCATGTATCGCAATACAGTTAATATGTATCGTGATGCATTGTGTATTGTATTGATGGCTACATATCGCAGTGCTAACATGGGCATTCTTTTATGAACATGGCTATGTAGGTTCCGAGTGTCTAATGCTTCTCATAAGCACCAAGGGAGCATGGGTGGCATCGCAATTAGCTGTGCACGCCAGAAACCTTTGAAAGTGGGTTTGAAACCTGGTTCGCCTCAGTTTGTTTCTAGGTTTGTCAGCACCATACCCGTTCTCGTGGGTTTCACCAAAGTAGTAAACATCTGAGACCTGCATCACTTTCCTCCCACATTAAGCTGATGTGTCATAATATAACTCCCTCGGTCCCTCGTTCGCTCACTCACTCACTCACTCACTCACTCACCAGAATTGATGAGTGAGGAGCCCCCGATGATGTGGATTGTTGCCCTTACTGTCGGCTTCATGTTTGTGTGGGGTGGTTAAAGGGTTCGCTCGTCACGCCGAAGACCCGGGTTCGATTCCCGACATTGGTACAATGTGTGAAGCCCATTTCTGGTGTCCCCGCCGTGATATTGCTGGAATATTGCTAAAAGTGACGTAAAGCCTAACTCACTCACTCACTCATGTTTGTGTCCCATGTTTAATAGAACCCTAATATTGCTGACTTCAGCGGAAAACAATATTTGCTCATGGATTCTTTCACTTTCAGAGAGGATGTTACACAAGGAGGGCAAGCCGTCAACAAAATCCCAGGAAGACAGAATTGTGTGACACCAGTCAAAATGTCCCATGGTACTGGCGCCCTTGCCAGCTCCTTCCTAGAGGTCTTCAAGTGTGAATCCCTGGCGAGAGAGTTCTCCTTGTGGGAGCAGGTGTATCGGAGTCTGACTCGTCCGAGAGAAGGAACGGAGAATGTCTCGGTGACCAATCACAGGACTGAAGCAGTTGATGCCGTTCATTCCGAACTTCATCTTCTCGATCTTACACAGTCAGAAATTGACAATTTTGTGATATATACATTTGTGCGGAGGTATGGATGGTCGGAGGGGGTCAGGTTGAGCCTGACTGACTCGGGGCTAGTGGTCGAAACGGGTGTGCCTGAGGTGAAGTCCGTCACCAAGCGTGATAAACAACAGTTGGATAAACAGCTGGATGCAATCATCCAATGGTAGGATTTTGTAACTTTTCTTTCAATGTTTGACTAGTCCTTTGTGGATTTGGGGATTCATGAGTTGCTGATTACTTCCTATTCTGTAGAAATACATTTCGGTGCAAATTAGAGAATTTGCTTTTTTGTATAAAAAATACATTATGACAGCATGTTCAGCTGTTGGTAATCACTGGTGATCAGTGAAATGTTGACACATTTTGAGACAGTCATCAAAAGAACCTGATGGCAGGAGTAGACTGCAGTCTTGTAAATGTGTTCGATGTGGAACTTAAAGTTGCACTAAATATTTTGATGTTGTCTACAACTGACGAGGGAGGCTTGAGATTGAAAACTCTTCTGGGCTTTATCTCTGTTCCTAACCTTGTGATAACATTATAGCTTATCTATCTGAGGGGGCTATGGGTGTCCCGGTCTAAGGCACCTCAATTCGCTGTGCAGAGTTAAGTTTCTTGTGCATGCCGGAAACCTATGATTGTGGGTTTAGCTCCCATTCACCCTGATTGTTACAGGTTTGTTAGCGCCATACCCGTGCGTGTGGGTTTCACCAAAGTGGTAAACATCTGAGACCTGTAACATTTCAGGGTTGCCTCCCACATTAAGCTGACACGCCATGATATAACTGGAATACTGTTCAAAGTGGCGTTAAATCTCACTCACTCAATGACTTCAAAGGGTACAAAAGTTGATGAGAAAAGTTCAAAGAAAACTCACTCACTCACTCACTCACAATGTCATAATGTCTCTGTCATGTGCTTCCCTCTCTACCTTTTCCAATCCAATATATATGATTCCCCACATGGTGTCTGCCGCTATGATATTGCTGGAATATTGTTGAGCTCTGTGTGAAGTTACCTGTGGTTACCAGTAACCAGCATCATCGCCATGTCATAGCAAGCTCCTTACAGTAAATACCACCTCCCTGGTCTAGTGGTAGAGCGTCCACTTGGAGGGCGGGGTTCGATCCCAGGCTGTGTCATACCAAAAGATAGTGCCTGTTGTAACGCTGTCATTAAGGGGCTAAAACAAGGACTGGTCGGCACGGAGTCAGTATACTGTGTCTGAGTGGGGTATTCATGTTAAGCTGCGGCATGGTATCTTAGTGGGCTAACACAATAAGAAATCACCATTAGTCTGGACTGGCACAAGCTGCCACACACACAAGTGCATGCAGGGGGCACGGGTGGCCCACTCGTCTAAGGCGTCCCAATTTGCTGTACAGAGTTGCGTTCCTTGGACACTCTAGTAACCTATGATTGTGGGTTTGAATCCTGGTTCGCCCTTATTATGTTTCTAGGTTTGTCAGCACCATACCCGTGCTCGTGGGTTTCACCGAAGTGATTTCTGATTTTGATTTAACTTTTCTGTCATTAGTGTAGTGGGAATGTCCCGAAGAAGTTGGGTGCTTGTCCGTTAGTCTGCAATCTTGAACCAGTCTCATTATGCTAACAAGCGAAATTCATCTGGCAAATAGTAACCTTTCACAATTCACCGTAAGGACATTTCCACAGATTACACCTGAATGTATACACATTACTACATTTGGGGTTTGAGGGAGTATTTTCAAGATTCTTCTCTGTATCCACTGATGAGGGGCGGTTGGGTAGCCTAGTGGTTAAAGCGTTCGCTCATCACGCCGAAGACCCGGGTTTGATTCCCGACATGGGTACAATGTGTGAAGCCCACTTCTGGTGTCTCCCACCGTGATATTTCTGGAATATTGCTAAAAACGGCGTAAAACCATACTCACTCACTGTATCCACTGATGACAAAAGTGATGCTTGATGGATAATGAAGTTGTCATACTGGGTTCCCAGTGTGACACTTTCATTACATTCTCTGTGACATCGCTGCCGTCAGTGTGGAAGCAGCCATTACAAGAATCTTGACGATGAAGACCCTGGTTCGATTCCCTACATGGGTACAATGTGTAAAGCCCATTTCTGGTGTCCCCTGCCGTGGTATAACCGTATTGATGGAACATTGCTAAAAGCGGCCTAAGAGCATACTCACTCATATAAAAGAATCTTAGAATTTTCCCACTAACCCCAAATGTAGTCAGGTTTATATTTTTGTTTGTCTTTGGAAATGCCATCATTGTGAATTTTGAAAAGGGCCACATTTCACAGATGAATTTACTTTTTGATTTGTTTAATTTGTTCAAGATTGCAGATGAACGAAAAATCAATCAACATTCATTCTATACCAATTACATGATCATTGAAATGAAATAGAAATTCAAATTGACAAAGGAAGAAAGTAATTAGCAAGGATAAGAGTATTTGGCATCACGGCAGTCATCACTTGTTTGTAAACATAATGTTCAGTCCGTTGAGAGTTCAACTCCAAGCATGGTTGTGGCCATCTGTCACAGTGGGGAGCTTTGACTGGTGGCAGCGTTAGTATAGAGAGCTCTGTGAACGGGCTATCGCTCCGAGGAACTTGCTATTAAGGGAGTTAACTCTTTGGTAAAGGGATAAGGCTTACCACTAATAAGATATAAATGAACAAAGTAGATTACCTTGATAACATCTTGCATGTTTTCTCCAGGCTGTCCGAGCAGCATGTGTGTGCACAGTTACTGAGGAGTTTCCTGAAACTAGTGAATGAAGGTGAGTTGGTTGGAACAAATCTAAATCATTCACTGAAATTCATTTCCTTTTCTTTTTAAAGTTGCCCATAATTAAATTCACTTGCATAAATTTTGTGATATAGGTCCCCTTTGGTCCCTATCCAAATCTGTTTCTTGCATTTCTTTGACACTATGTGTCAATATGATTTAACAGATGTAGCTGACCCTTGACACCAAGTGGGGACTGACTTGTCCAGCTTGTCAATCTTACCGTATGATTGTGAACATGTCTGTTGCAGCGTCATCCCTGCCGATAGTGAGGAACAGATCAGTGGTCCACACTCTCGCCTGGTTACAGGGGGCAGGGGAACAGCTGAACGGAGCACACGTTCTCCCACTGGTGACAGTAAGCATTAGATACATTTCTCACAGTTGGATTATTTGAATCCAAACAAGCTCCCGGTCAGAAATGGTGAAAAGAATAACCTTTAAGGTGGTATATATATTAACATCTTTTGCTTGATGCCAGGACAAGCTGATCATACAGTGTTTGAAATCAAGGATCCTTGTCATTGCTCTTATAAAAGTTAAAGAATTAGGGATCCATAGATTCCAATACCAGGAGGGAAGATCAAGCAGCGTTCCCGTTTACCGGTAATTACCAGTTTTTTACTGGTAAACTTAGGCTTGGACCGGTAATTCATGTGACTGCCAGTCTCTGTGGACCGGCAAATAAAGTACCTTATATAAATCTTTGTTGTTGAACAAAACATTGGTGATATTCATATAAGTACATTTTTCAAACAAAGTCAACTTGTCTGTTACCATCAGGGTTTCCCCTGGTCTATTTCTTGATTAAATATCCATTTGTGTCTACTTTGTCTTAAAATACTAAAAAGGAGAGAGAAAATTGTGACTGAAGTTTGTGTGAATGACATAAAGATCTAACTTAGTTATTTCAGAGATGACATCTTTGCACTGAGCATGATGTTGAAAGAATTAAAAGTAAATAATTTTCATACATTTTTTTATTTATTGAAAGTTGGGACTGACAAAGTTAGGGGGGACTGGTAATTTTTAGAGTTGCCTGCCCACAAGGACTGGCAGTTTCAAAAGCCAGCGGGAACACTGGTAAGGACCCCAAGGCCACCCTTAATTTCAAACAGTGTAACTGGTTCAAATCCCAGATCGTCTTGAATCGAGTCCACTCCATCCCAGTGTTGGTTTCGTCAAAGTGGTAAATGTCAGCACCTGGTCACTTTGGGCTCTCCTCCCACATCAAGCTAGTATAACTGAAATACTGTTCAAAGCTCACCTAACCCTGATTAGATGACAAGTTCTGTGTTGTGATCTCAGCAAAGCTATACAAGGTGAGGTGAGGTGAAATGGGGTTTTATGTCGCGTCCAAGATTATTGCACTTATATAGCGACGTCCATCTTCGTGTGTGTGTTTGTGTGGCTGCTTGTACTGGTCCAGACTGATGCCGATTTATAGTGCTAGCTCACTGAGATACCATACCGCAGTTTAACATGAATACCCCACTCAGATACAGTATACTGACTCTGAGCCGACCAGTCCTTGTTTTAGCCCCTTAATGCCGAGTGCCAGACAGGGTAACAACAAGTACCATCTTTTAACGTCTTTTGGTGTGACGCGGCAGGGCATCGAACCTCGGACCTTCTGCTCTCCGGGCGGACAGTCTACCACTAGACCACGGAGTCCATCCAAAGCTATACAAAGGCCAACTACTTTTACAATGATATGGCTACTCCCTGGTATGCAAGGCACCCATTTTCACCAATGTCTCTCTGCACATCTACAAGTCTGTATCAACATGTTCTCACAAGGACACCTAAGGCCAGAAAGGAGACAGAAAAGTTCCTTGAGCATTGGCATGGTGCTTTAGATCCTGCCCATCAGACATTTATATTATACAAGCTTATAAAGCACACTGTTCTCCATGTTGGTATTCTTGGTGGGAAACAAATATTGTTCCTCTCTCACCACTTTTGTTTTCAATAGAATTTGTTTTATAAAGTCCTACCTCCTTCCTCACTTATGAGAAAAATGTGCTCAAGAACATATTTTTATGCAGCCTAAAACAAAAGAGTTACAGTAATTAGGAGATAAACGCTCCGTGTTTTCCCAGTGGACCTTCAGTCTGCTTCTTTAGCCACTTGTCCGAAGACTGTGTCTAGTAAAAATCTGTTCAGTCCAGTAAGTGAAAAGGATACTAAGTTCAGGCTAGTAGACTGAAACGTTTTTGGCACGGACTGGAGCAAGGTCACCATTGAGATAACTAAATTTATTTGGAACTGATTGTGCAAAACCCCTAAGGCCATCCATATTTTATTATGTGTTTCTTAACTTTTCTTTTTGTGTTTATGCTTTTCACTCGTTATCTAATGAGTGATGCATTGTTTCAGGAATTTGTTTTAGCAGCACTAACAGACGTCTGGTCAGCTATACGTAAAGTCAGCTGCAAGGGCCTGGGAGATATCATAGACTGCCTGTCAGATGTGCATCAAGAGACGGTGTGGAACAGCCTCGTCAGAGTGGGTGTATGGCCTTATAAGAATGTGTATATCACCATGTCTGGGTTGGTATGTAAGGCCTTAGAATGTGGGTATGTGGGTATGTAATGAGAATGTGTATATCACCAGGTCTGGGTGGGTGTATGTGACCATGTCAGGGTTGGTATGGAAGGCCTTGTCAGGGTTGGCATGTACAGCCTTGTCAGGGTTGGCATGTATGGTCTTGTCAGGGTTGGTATGTATGACCATGTCAGGGTTGGTGTGTATGGCCTTGTCAGGGTTGGTATGTATGACCATGTCAGGGTTGGTATGTACAGCCTTGTCAGGGTTGGTATGTATGACCATGTCAGGGTTGGTATGTACAGCCTTGTCAGGGTTGGTATGTATGACCATGTCAGGGTTGGTGTGTATGGCCTTGTCAGGGTTGGCATGTACAGCCTTGTCAGGGTTGGCATGTATGGTCTTGTCAGGGTTGGTGTGTATGGCCTTGTTTGGGTTGGTATGTACAGCCTTGCAGGGTTGGTATATAGGGCCTTGTCAGGGTTGATATGTATGGCCTTGTCAGGGTTGATATGTAGGGCCTTGTTTGGGTTGGTATGTATGACCTTGTCAGGGTTGATATGTAGGGCCTTGTTTGGGTTGGTATGTACAGCCTTGCAGGGTTGGTATGTATGACCATGTCAGGGTTGGTGTGTATGGCCTTGTCAGGGTTGATATATAGGGCCTTGTCAGGGTTGATATGTATGGCCTTGTCAGGGTTGATATGTAGGGCCTTGTCAGGGTTGATATGTAGGGCCTTGTTTGGGTTGGTATGTACAGCCTTGCAGGGTTGGTATGTATGACCATGTCAGGGTTGGTGTGTATGGCCTTGTCAGGGTTGATATATAGGGCCTTGTCAGGGTTGATATATAGGGCCTTGTCAGGGTTGATATGTAGGGCCTTGTCAGGGTTGATATGTAGGGCCTTGTTTGGGTTGGTATGTACAGCCTTGCAGGGTTGGTATGTATGACCATGTCAGGGTTGGTGTGTATGGCCTTGTCAGGGTTGATATATAGGGCCTTGTCAGGGTTGATATATAGGGCCTTGTCATGGTTGATATGGAGGGCCTTGCAGGGTTGGTGTGTATGGCCTTGCAGTGTTGGTATGTATGACCATGTCAGGGTTGGTGTGTATGGCCTTGTCAGGGTTGGTATGTATGACCTTGTCAGGGTTGGTGTGTATGGCCTTGTCAGGGCTGGTATGTATGGCCATTGACAGGGATGGTATGTATGGCCTTGTGAGGGATGGTATGTATGGCCTTGTGAGGGAGGGAAAGACTGGCAGTGTCATTATGGGTACACAGCCTTGTTCAGATCAGTTTAAATGGCCTTGTCATGTTGTGTACATATTTAGCCATGATTTATGATTTTTTCTTTGTGATACACCAAAGTACAGTATGTACAAGGGGGATGTGACAAGGTATAAAGATAATATAGTTAAAAATCTCATCCCTTGCATTGTGTACAATAGTTCTCAAGACATTATTCAGTTAATTTTGACACAAGCTTAATATGTTCTTGTACAGTCTATAATCATTTTTTCATCTGTTAATATCTAGATAGGTATCATAACATGTATTGTTACATTGCTGATCAACCATCATGTATCCTCCACAGGTCTGTGATGATGAACACACACCCTGGCAGGCAGTAGATGGTGCCATGCTAGGTAGGTCCTACAGAGTTGTGTCCCTTTTCCATGCCAGGATTGGCTGATCGTTTTTGCATATCTCAGATTCACGGTTATGATCAGCACCAAGCCCAAAATTGGTACCTTTGGATAGCTTTGAGATTTTTGAAAATCGATTATATATTTTTAACCAGTTGACATATTCATGACAAGTATTTACCATTGCTTGGGATGCCGATGAACTTTCCTTCTGTTGTGTGTTATTTGCAGGCATCAGTGCAATAGTACAACATCTACACACATACGGAGGTACAGCTACATCGAATCAGAAGGTGAGTCCACTCACAGGACCATGTAACTAATTATAACAATAAAAATAAAAAAAGTCGCAAAAAAAATCAATAGACGAGGCCAAAGGCCGAGAAGGAATGCAACAGAAATAGCTGAACTCGCCTGCCTTGATTTTTTGTCTATTTTTAAAAGCCTCGTCTTTCCATCTATCAAAACTGTTCCATATACACCCCCCAACATCGATGTCGCTCCCATTGTATGGAAACACCCACCTGTCAACCAACATTTAATCAATAATGTGACGCAAGACCAACCCGTCCGTACTCCATTCTTGCACGACTTTGGCCTCGTCTATGATTTTTTTGCGACTTTTTTACATTTTTATTGTTATAATTAGTTACATGGTCCTGTGGTTCACTGTTGTCACCCACTCTCTGCTCAGTCATGTGTTACCTAGATGGATAAGAGTTGTGTCCCTTGTCACTTAGATCCCTGGTCCTGTGTCAGGTCAGGTGAAATGGGGTTTCACATATAAGTTAAGATTATTGTACTTATATAGCCACATGCATGCATGTGCATGTGTGCGTGCGTGCGTGCGTGGGTGCGACCCTTTTCTAGTCCGGTTTTATAGTGCTAGCTCACTGAGATACCTTGCAGCAGTTTAACATGAATACCCCACTCAGACCCAGTATACTGACTCCGATCCAACCAGTCCTTCTTTTACCCCCTTAATGCAGAGTGTCAGGCAGGGTAACGACAAGTACCCTATTGTAACGTCCCTTGGTATGGGTGCAGGGGATTGAACCACCAACCCTCCACTCTCTGGGCCGCGTGTTTGAGTCCGTGTGTTTGAATCCTAGTTGTGATCCTTGGTTACTCAGCTCCATGGGGCGGTCGGGTAGCCTAGTGGTTAAAGCGTTCGCTCGTCACGCCGAAGACCCGGGTTTGATTCCCGACATTGGTACAATGTGTGAAGCCTATATTGGTGTCCCCCGCCGTGTTATTGCTGGAATATTGCTAAAAGCAGCGTAAAACCATACTCACTCACTCACTCACTACTCAGCTCCATACCATGCACCAAGTTGAAAATGTCTGCATCCAGTATCATTTGGGTTTCCCTCTGACACTAACTTGTGAAATAACTGAAATACTGTACAAAGCAGCTTTAAAGTCAACTCACTCGCTCATCTATCGCGAGTCTTCTGTCAGTGGCACTTTTTGTGCTTTATTATTTTCATGTGTTATGTAGAACATACACTAGATATTTAATTAATATATTTCACCCTTTATTGATGTGAATTTTCAATTCGACAGCTGACCTCTACAATACCAGGTTTCGTCCAGCGAGATATTCTCACAGTCGTGTTCAGAGTTATCTCCCATTCCCAGCTTCCAATACGAGAGTCGGCAGTGAAGGCGGTATCTGCCTACATTAGTCTAGTGGATAACCAGGTTGTTATGTTTTTTTCATCTTCTCAGCCAGAAAATTGTCTTTATGCTTTCATCTTTTGAAAATGATAATATATAAAATATTGCACATATAAAGAAGATGTTATATTATTCTTTTGAAAGTTGAATTCAACACCACAAAGTTTGTTATAAGCATGATAAGTAACAAGAAAACATTCTCAAGAGAAGCTAGTCTCTAGAACTGTATTTAAGTAGTCTGACTTTGTTCCTGTCAATCCTCATGATGACCCGTGAAGACCCGAGGTTGAATAGGTCTTCAGCTACCCATGCTTGCCATAAAAGGCGACTGATTGTCGTAAGAGGCAACTAACGGGATCAGGTGGTTAGGCTCGCTGACTTGGTTGATGCATGTCATCATGACCCAATTGCGTGGATCGATGCTCATGATGTCAATCACTGGATTGTCTGGTCCAGACTCGATAATTTACAGACCACCGTCATATAGCTGGAATATTGCTGATTGCAGCATTAAACAACAACAAACAAACAAACAAACAAACAAACAAACAAACGATCCTCATGATGGGGCGGTGGGGTTGCCAAGTGGTTAAAGAGTTTGCCCGTGTTCGATTCCCGACATGGGTACAATGTATGAAGCAATTTCTGGTGCTCCTGCCGTGATATTGCTGAAATGTTGCTGAAAGTGGCGTTAAACAACACTCACTCACTCAAGGATATTTATTTTTGTAGTAAGACTGGACCAAATTAGTTTTGTGTTTTATATATTATCCTAATCAGGATGCCAACACGCAGAAGGCAAAATGAAAAAGAAATGTGAGGGTTGATTTGAGGTTTATGTTCCTTAAACAAAAAATACATTAATTATTAAAAAGCATATATTCAATCAAAATCGGAATTCTAGATTTTGTTATTTTAAAATAAGTAGGGGTATCTTGCAATAATATAGATTGATATGGCCCAGTTATAGTTTAACTGGGGCGGTCAGGTAGCCAAGTGGTTAAAGCGTTCGCTCGTCACGCCTAAGACCAGGGCTTGGTTCCTGACATGGGTACAAAGTGTGAAGCCAATTTCTGGTGTCTGCCGTGGTATTGCTGGAATATTGCATAAAGCTGCGTAAAACCCTACTCAATCAATAAAGTTTAACGTGGCTTCCTTTGTTTTTATTCAGGAATCTTTAAGAATCCTGGAGCAGACGTTAGCCCTGTTGCGAGGAGGAAATCATACACAGGTTGACCAGGTACTCATGTGTGACACCAGCAGATTAAACAAGTACATCCATCTGGAGCTTTCAGTCTGAGAGCTGACATGTGTGGAATCTGACAACAAATAAGTCCACATTTATCAAAGCTTGTTACAGGTTGTTTTTGACTTGACAGTCACAAATTCTGTGAAATTGTGTATCAATTCTGACAGTTATCCTTCGGTAAATGCATACAAAATGAAAAACAATCCTTATAATTACAAAGTTAATCCTCCTTTCTTAGATTTGTAATATTCACAGATAAAGGGTCAGACCCGTGAAGATTCTGGGGTAGAATAGGTCTTCAGGAACCCATACTTGCCGTAAAAGGCGACTATGCTTGTAGTAAAAGGCGACTAACGGGATTGGGTGGTCAGGCTCGCTAACTTGGTTGATACATGTCATCGTATCCCAATTGCGTGGATCGATGCTCATGTCAATCACTGGCAGACTCGATTATTTTACAGACCGCCGTCATATAGCTTGAATATTGCTGAGTGTTGCGTTAAACAACAAACAAACAAACAAACAAACAAACAGTTTTGACATTGTAATGGCAGTGTGGAGCATTGACCCACAACTAACTACATTGTATTGCATCACCTGAAAGTCTGGCCACTTGTCGTACCCTTTGTGGTATAAGTGTACAATATTGTTGATATGTTTCTGTGATTGCCAGGAAAGTCAAGAGTTTGTGGATGCCTACAAAGCGGAGGGTCTTCTCAATGTCTGTCAGTCTGTGGTAAAGGTGAGAATGTCTCTTGTCTGGACTCCATTATATGCAGGCTGCTGGTGTGTAGTTGGAATATTGCTGGTTGTGGCGTTGGAATATTGCTGAATGTGGCGTTGGAATATTGCTGGTTGTGGCACAAAGCAACAAGCATAATTAGTACACTTGTACCATGTGTTTTGGCTTGAAAAGAAGGATAATAAGATTTGCCATAATTTTGCCTTTTGAATGTACCTGGAAAGCCAGTTTGCCCAGAGCCCTGTCTTGTGGATGTAGTGTGGGTGTTAGAGGTGTATCTCCCTGCTCAGAGGCCAATATTCAGCCACAGTTCTGCAGCTAATGATAGTAGAGATTCCAATTGGCAATTAAACATTTCCCAATTCCTCAGAATTTATGAATTAAGAACTTTTCTATAATCAAATTTTGAACAATATCACGATTTTGTCTCATTTTGTTTAATGGGTTTCATGTCCAGATTAACAGGGTTTCATGTCCAAATGAACGGGGTTTCATGTTCAGATTAATGGGTTTCATGTCCAGATTAACAGGGTTTCATGTCCAAATGAACGGGGTTTCATGTTCAGATTAATGGGTTTCATGTCCAGATTAACAGGGTTTCATGTCCAAATGAACAGTGTTTCCTGTCCAGATTATCCAGGTTTCACTGTCCTTGAGTTGTCTCCTATTACAGAGTCTGCCGCTGGCTTCTCTGCTGCCATGCTGGGGTGGTTACCTCTCCTCGTTTCTCCACCACCTGGCTCACCCTGCCTCCTCCGTCCGTCAGTCAGCGAGCTCCGTCTTCAAACTCCTGGGTAAGTACCGCACAGTAGAAGTGTCATCTTCATAGAAACAGGCATTTAATCTTAATTATTGAATAAAAATCCAACAATCAGTCCAGCCAAATGCAGCTACGACACTTGAAACCCATTTTGTTCCAAGTTCAATATTACACTGTTTCCTAAAGTGTTCATGAAAGCACATTACAAATTACTTGCAAGTTAAATGAGAATTAATTGACTCTTGGTTTTGTTCAACGTGAATAGCTAAAACGTAATTAGAATAACAGATCAATCATTGATTGTGATCGATCATTGGAACTTGACAACAGGCATGGTTACTGAAACTGTCTTGCTAGTTCTGTGTTAGAATCTCCTTTGTTTGTTTGTTTGTTTATTTGTTGTTTAACGCCACAATCAGCACTATTCCAGCTATATGATGGCGTTCTGTAAATAATCAAGTCTGGATGAAACAATCCAGTGATTGATATCATGAGCATCGATACACGCAATTGGTATACGATGACATGCATCAACCAAGTCCACGAACCTGGCCACCCGACCCCATTAGTTGCCTCTTACAACAAGCAGAGTTGCCTCTTACAACAAGCAGAGTTGCTTCCTATGACTAGCATGGGTTGCTGAAGACCTATTCGAACCCGGATCTCCACTAGTCCCTTTTGCATGCCATCAGACTGGCTTCATAAGACATGCTAAACAAAACCCTTTTCAAGTTCTTGTTCAGTCAAAGATTTTTTTGTTGCTCCAGGGGTATGGTTCTGACAAAGCCGAGAAGCAGTGACCTAAGAATTCATGGAATACATTTTGGTAGCTGTGGCAGTTTTAGAAAAACTTTTAAAGGGTCTCCCAGGTGTTGGAGGTTTGCTGAATTTGAATGTATGGACCCGTTTTACTTTATTTTCTTTCAACTTTAGGGTTATGACAGTAGCTAGATTGGAGTGTACCAGATACCTTCTGCCTTTTTGGTAAGGGATGTGCACAAGTCCTTCCTACAGGGGTTGAAAAATACCATTGCCCGACGCCCGTGCCAAGTAAGGTTTAGATGTCGGGCGTGTAATATACGTTTTCTAGCATGCCCGTGGACAAGTAGAGCACACAAAATGAACTGGGTCAAGTTTGACGCGAATGTAATCATGTGATCATGTTACGGTATTTGATTGGCTAATATTTTGTTAGTGTCCCAGACTGACAATGTAATTTGCATACAGCTACGCCAGTCAACCAATGGGATTAATACATTTCGATGTCAGGCAGGTCAACAACGAGAACCAAGCCTGTTTCATTGTTAAATCGTAGTAACACTTCCATATATGGCACATGTTTCTTGGAAATGGAATTTCTTGGAAATTGTAACGCGAGGTTGAAACATTTTCCGACTTTAGATGCTTCGTTAGGCCTAGCTTTGATGAAATATCATTTTGTCGAACTACAACAAACGGGACTTTTAACGAGTGAAAGTATGGCATTTATTTAATATGTGTTTCTTTTCGTTGTCAACTAAAGTTCATTCGAGGCGTCAATAGCGATAACCTGACCGTGGTTGTTGTAAATAACGGCGAGTTGTGCGATCTATCGACCCCATTACGCACGATTTCGGCAAAATTGATCTAAACTGTATTGAATGAAATTTTAAATAAAATTAATAAAATATGCTACAAACATATGTCAAGGTACAAACGTGTTTTTTTAATAACCAGATAGTAATAATAGGATTTAATTGCGGAATTTGTTGATTGGTATTTTCTGTGTTGCGTGCAGGTGGTAATGTTTTTGCGATGGGGAAATGACATCGTGTCAGTGACTTGAGTTTACTAAAAGTGTATATAAGTTTTGGGAACCATGTGTTACCGCACACAATAACCGAGTTAGCGCTATATTGAAGAGTGCAATAGCGAGGGATCACTGTAAGTAAATCTTTTGTTTCAAATAAGTAAGCTAGTAAAGGACAGTGTAACCTTAGGTTCCGGGTACTTTACCCTTCTACCTATGGTCACTTCTACTTATCAACTACTCCTTGGTTCTAGGGATGATGTAGCTATCTCAAAATCACAAGTCCGATGGTTTGCTCCAGTCCTTTTTATTTATGATAGAGTTAATCATAAATACACACACATGGTCCTCAGATATATTCTTGTTGTTGCCTGATATAAATACAACACATACCTAGATGATGGTTGAAGAGCCTGATGGTTTTTCTGATGAACGTTAACTCTACTTCTTTTCTGACTCGGGATCCCAAAACCACAGTGAACCTTTCTGTTCAGCTGTATGCTCCCGACTCCCCGCACCACTCTCGGACAACTCACAAAATACTATCGATGATGATTTTAGCTCCTCCCTCCAAAATCACATTTGACATCATGAGAAATGAGTCATAATGGTCATTCCCCAATTTCCACAATAATTAGTTTTACCACCAAGCCCTTCGGACTAACCAGTTAGATTACCTCCCTAAGGTCATTGGTCAACTCGGACATACTCATATAATGAAATACCCTCAAGTACTCTGCCAGACTGGAAGGCACCGAAAACATACTTAATCATGTTATTTTGACATTCTAATCAAGCAGTAATACTCATAAATATTTGATCACCACAAGACTAACAATTTTGTTCCATCCATCTATCTCCCGTCTGACATTTTTATTGCAAGACCAATTCTACTAATTCATTGTACTAATGAAAGGTAAACTCTATCACTTAAGAGAAGCAAAACCAATAATCACTTGCCCCAGGAGTGTTGCCCTGACCCTGTACAGTCACTTCTCTCATATGCATCCATATTTTACCCAAAAGCTTCATTTAGTAAACTATATTTTAAGTAAATATTAAAAACCCCTTTTTCCAAAATACCCTGGTTATACATGCCCTTCCCGTTGTAGAGCATGTCCCATGTGATTGACCAATGATAATAGAATATGAAATGTAAATACAATAGTACAATATCAATATGTAACAGCTTCTGTGTGTATGCATCTGAGGACCAGAAAAATCAATACAATGAAATTTTACAAGGTAATGTCTCAGATAGGATCTGTCTTGGGTTGTACCTATCTGGGGTTGTACCTATCTGAGAATAATAACATGCCAAGACTTATAAAGGCATAATCAAATTATGTTTCTTTGTAAAGTTTTTGCTTTTTCTATATAAAGACATATGAGCATTTTCCTTCGGGCAAAAAATCACAATAGTATCACAACACCAATAACCAACTGATGATCAGTTCCAGAGTTCTACGTATCCAATATACAATCTTACTATTCTGTATCATCAGCATGTTCCATGTCCGTATGTTCTAGAACATATTCAACTTACTCTTACTCTTATGGTCTTGATCCAATGGAAAAAGTTCTCCATATCAAATGATCAAAAATGTCCTGGAAGTTTATTTAAGAAATGATTCTCTCCATCATCTTATAGAATGAGGTTGCTCATTCCTACATGTATGACAGTGAAATCTTTGACAGTCCAATCTCTGATGTCCAAAAGAGTTAATTGTCCAAAATTCAGTCATTTATAAATCAAATAGGAAATTACTTTAAATTTGTGCATTACACTCCATGAAGTCCTCTTTAACTGAAGATTACAACAGTTTGTTCTTATAATTTCTCAAGTAAATGTTGAAATTTAGCTTCAGCATCTATACTCAGTAAACAAACAACATCTCACCTAACTCAACAATCACAATAGTTGTTTTTTCAACATCAAAACAACATCAACTTATCGTAAGGTCAATGGACATGCACCTACATAGAATATTGTCAAATGTCTCATTGGGCAGTGATCGCACGTGCAATCTATCAACTCCTGAGGTGCAATACAATGCACCATATACAACATCCTGGTAACATATAACGGAAAGATTTTCTCTCATGAAATTTAACATATGTTTTTCTCATATGGTAGGTGTACTCCTTCATATATATTATAAATAAATGCATATAGGTAAGCACAAAAACATAAAACATGTAGTAAGGTAACATCTTGAATACAGTATAACATCAACATTTATACAAGAGGACACTAGTATGTCTGAGATCACTTAAATTTCTAAAACTGTGACATTTCAATGCTCTCCTTATTTTTGATAGAGTCCGCCTTAAATGTCGGAAAGGTATCAACTCGGGTGATAGTACATTTTGTAATAACTTATATAATCCTGTGCTCAACTGATTAATCTTCCTTTCAACCATAGTAGCAAAAGGTAACTCCTTTGCAACCAGTTGTATCCAATGTGCATACATGGCCTGAAACCATTGTATCTTAGCATCCTCTACCTTTATCAGTTCAGTCAATTCATTATGCAATTACACCTTGCTTCAAACCATCCATTCTGTCATTGGCCTTAGACATGTACGAACCCATGTAATCCTGGGACACATTAAAAGCTGCTTCTTCCGCTCTCATTCTATTTGATAAGACATTGATATGTTGACGTATTATGTTCACATCACTGTCACGGCGGTACCAAATAAATTATGTGAGAATTCACCAGTAAAAGGTGGCAATGCTCTCTTGGAGCAAGTCTTCTGAGAATCAACAATTTGATCTTGAAGAATAATGTTTCTGATCAAAGTAACCCCTTCTAACATGTCTTTGAAAGTGTCGTCATGTATGCGATAAGTAAAATTCAATGTAGCCCTCATATTCTCATCACAGGATGTATGATTCACCTGAAGACTAATAGTAATATTCCCTCACGTCTCTCTAAGCAGAATTGGATAGTTAAAGATCTTGGGCAATTCATTAGTGAATATATGATACCATGTCTGTTCGTATGTTAAGTCATCCCATATATCTGAAGGTATTACCCCAGAGATAGATATCCGGAATGCATGTCGTCAATGGTACTGAGTTCCACATCATGAGTAGTGTCATCATAGCTTTAAGTGCGAAGCCTAAGGGTCCTTTAGAACGCAAACATCCAAGCTGTCTCTCAGATTTTTAATATGATCTCAGTTCTTACTCTGTTATCCCTATGAAGCCATATCTTCCCTAAGCATGCTAAGTGAAA